ATAAACCTTTATGGGTAAAACAAAAATACAGATTGCATCAGTTTCATCCTTTCACCAGAAATATGTTCTCTGAATTTTTTTAAAACCTTTGTCTATGCACTGATAAAGTCCCAGAGATGGTAAACTTATAAAAATAAGAGGTGTTGTTACTTTGACTGAAAGCTATTTTACTGAAGCTATAACTTTCAGTCAAATCACTTTCTCTCGGTAGCTGCATGAAGAAAACTTTTTGACACCAGGTAGAAACACCCAACAAAAAAAAAAAAAGCTTTTTTGCAGATTTTATTGACTTGTATAATTTGGTCTCCGAACAAGATTAAAAACCAGGGCTTACCATGAGGTACTCCATGCATAACTGGGCCAGCTTGAACAGCTTGAGGAAGTTGGGGTCAACCAGGGCTCCACCCTATAGAATATTGCAAACAATATATATATATATATATGTTTTTTTTTTAATAGGATAGATACATGGTTATTTTAAACAATGAATTCATATTCGTATCACTAAGGGCCAAAACATTAATGCGATAAAGAATATCTAAAATCACAAACAAATAATTATTTGTCTTTAAGCTTGTGTGAATATTCAAATTTTTTTTTACTAGTTTTGAATAATACATTATTCGATATTCGCTTCAAGATGAACCTCAATATTCATATTTTTCAAAGTAGGTATTGATTGTGGTGGGTTAGAACTTAGTTCGGTTGAAGAGCGCACCTTGTACCAAGCACCGGTGCAGTGCAGAAAAGCCATACCCGTGAAAACGGGCTCCGCAAGTATTGCTTTCCCGCAGAGCATCGGTGCTCGGTAAGAAGCATGCTCAACGGGGCTAACCTGCCACGACCGCCACTTCGAAAAACACAAATATTGCAGCTCATCTCGAAGCGAATATCGAATAGCATATTATTTAAAACTACTATTATTTTATAAAAACCTCCTAGATTGATAAATGTTTTTTTATTATCATTCAGAAATGTTTGTAGAAATTGTGTCGAGAAATCAAAAAAAAAAAAAAAAGAAAATTAAGTTGTTCAGAAACTTTAGTGGCTGGGCTGTGACAAGGATTCATCATTTCACATTTACTTAGTACTCAGAGGAGAGAGAGAGAGAGAGAAGAAACTTAGTACTCAGAGGAGAGCGAGAGAGAGAAGAAACTTTATAAAAGCCTAATAAGATTCAGAACGTTGTACCCACACATCCACACATTGTGTTCAGCTGCTACCAATTTCTCCAATAACCCATTATTCTGGCTAAAACCGTGCCTCCCAATAATTCCACCAGCTCAGCTCACAGGTGAACCACAATATACATGCAAGGAAGAGAATAATAGACGAAGCCCCATTCATATCAATCTGTCAGATATAGGATATATTGTTTGTTTTAAGACTCAAGCACAAATGAGCAAAGATAGTTAATAAAAGTGAGTTTTAGTTTAGCGTGTGCTGCAGGTTGCAGGCCTTACAGGCACATGTTAAATTCATATTTCGAAAGGACAGCATAAGCTCCCATGAGCAATGCAATGCAAGCAACGCTATACCATAGCGTTTTGACTTATCCCCATCTTGAACTCCCACTTAGTCTCAGCACTATATGGTTTTCCCAGGAAGCATTTCGCTTGTGGAGAGATTATTCTGGACTAACCAGTTCGTTGTCAATGTCGCAGAATGTCAGGTGGACAACATTCTTCTGCAGGCTGTCCACATCCACTTCTCTGGCAACCTTGTCCACATCCACTGATGCTGGAATCAATCACCCAAATAGTAACAACGGGAGCACACAATTATACATTTGCAAACTTCCAGCACCATGGCTTGCACACAGAGTTTTACGGCACTATACACCAGGTGCAATTATTAAAGGAGCCTACATTTTATTTGCAGTTTCCTTCCTATCTTTTTTTAAAGTACAGCTCTTAGGCACCCATTCCCAGCTTGAGCAGCGTCGGCATCGCCGTCGGCATAACCGTGAGGTCACGTGCCCCCCCCCCCCCCCCCCAGGTCACGTGATTCCTCCCCCAGGCCACGTGACCCCCCCCCCCAGAACACGTGACCTTCAATACCCTTCCCCCCTCCTCCTCAAGAGCTGCACTCTAATTCGGCGTTACAGGGAGTTATAAACAGCTTTCATTTTTTTCTATCTTTGTTATAATTAACCACAATTATTTTTTGTTTGCAATCTCTTCATAGACCAAAGCTGGTTTCTGTGTGCATATTAAAATGGCTTTTTAATTAAATGTTTATTATTATTCTTGAGGCTCATTAATTACTATTGAGGTGCAGAAATTTACTGAGCTTTAAATTTAAAAAAAAGAAAAAAAGCTAGGTCACGTGGGAAGTGGAAGAGTGCACCCAAAAGTGAAAGCACATATGCATTCCCCTGCCTGTCTCAACAACATGAAGATATGTTTCACAACGTTCAACTGATTATGGGAAAGCACGCACACGAGGGAGAGCACTAGCCAACCTCAGCGCGCTCAGCGCAAAGCCTCAACGCTTACAGCACCCCCCCAAAAAAAAAAACAACCGTTAACATGCGCATTAAATTTTTTTTTTAAGATTTAGAAGCAAGTATGTACGAGTCTATGTAACCTAATGTTAAAAAAAAAAATAAAAAAAAAAACAAAAAACAAAAAAAAACCGCGGTTTGTTGCGCGTACCGATTTTACGCCAGTCGATCTTTTGGCAGCGGCTGTGGAACTGGAAGCCGTGGAGGGACGCCACGGGGCGGACGGACGCAGCGTCGGCGGTCTCCTGCCCCTGCTGCATGCTCCCGTCCTGCCACGCGCAATTCGTGCACGCGCAGATTCATGCACGCGCGGCTTTGCTAGACTCCGTTTCATCTTACGATACGGTACAGTACCGCAACGACGACGCGCTGTCACGTGATTAGGTTCACAGCGCCGTATTGGCTGTGGCTGGTTACGTCGCGGTCCATCGCAAAGTGAAACAGAGGCCATGACAAAAGCGAAACCACAATTTCACAAACTTGGTACCCACGAAACGTTGCCTCGCTCGCGTTACCGACAATGTATAAACACATGCGCATATAATTGCATTATCATCGTCAGCAGGATGTCTCGTCAAATTATACCGAGGCAAGCCTATGTATGTAAATCGTACGAGTGCACGCTCGAGATGGAAGCGCACATCACGCACGATGGTTCGAATCTTCTTGGCGAATTCAAAGCCTGCAGATGGTAAGCGGCCTGCGTGCTACGAGAAACCCGAAACATCGTTACGTTAGGTGAGGCGCTAGCGCAAATTAATTGCCGAAAGCCGCAAACGAAAGGCCGAACAATCGGAGGCGACCCGCTCACCGTGGTCCGGCGCCGATGGAATTTAAAGCGCCCTGTTGGATGACGTCACTGCGCGCCCCGCGAGCGAGTATTTTTATGGTTTTTAGGCTAGGGTACGGTTACCGACAGCTTTTCAAAGTTTGCCCGTGTCTCGTAAAATGATAAATTTAGGCAAGTGAGATCGTGCGCCAGACTTTCAAGACATGACTGACAGCCGAGGAGATATTATTTATCTTTTTCTTTGTGGCACGCGACATGCTATGAGAACTTTTTCTTCCTCTTAATGATTCTAAGCCATAGGTGTACAGAACACGAAGAACGGTGCGTAAATTGACATGCTATCGCTGCGCGAGCGTTCATTTTCGACAGCGGCGCTCAAAGCATCAGAGCCGCGCTCAAAGCGCACGGCTCCGATGCTGCCGTGTATCATACATCTTTAAAATGCTGAAATCGCCAAAACTATACCCTTTCGGTTTTATTCTGCAAGATTCTGTGCTCAAAATTCGGGCTTTAAGACTTTTCCTTGAAAACCCTATCCTTGGATGGAGGAAAATACGCAAATCAGCTGATGACATCATTACACTTTTTTACGGCGGAGTTGTTAAGGGCTACCGAAGTAGCACGGAATTTGGCCAAGCATTGGCCAATGGCCAAAGAGTGACCCATCCATCGGCTAATGGGACGATGGCTCATGGCCAGTGACCAATGGCTAAAGAATGGCCAGTCATCGGCCAACGACTGGCCACTGGCCAAAGGACCATTGCCAGCCATTGGCCAATGATTGGCCAAATCTATGCTGCTGGGGTAGTTTCCCCAGTTTCGTGTCCATGGACAAATAAATCTCGACACAATCCTCTGGACAGCTACCACCATCTATGAGCGACAGCGACGAGACAACAGGCTTGACGGTTGTCTGGTTGTCGCCGTCGCTCATATAGTTGGCGGCACATAGTAGAGCTCTGCTGCTCCTCCTTCCCCAGAGTGGAAAGGCTGAAAGTTTTTTGTAGATGTTGCGTTCTGGTAAGATCGAGAACACTGTTGCTTGTTTGAGGTCCGAATATTCCATGCACCGAACCTTCCACGTCGATTGTTTCAGTGCCCTCACGTGCACATAAGGGGCTCCGCAAGGCGAGCCGGAGTCAGTCTCGCCCCAGCGATCGATCCTGCTGTCTCGCCTGCGACGCTAACCTTCTTATATGTCGTTTTGGGCACAGGTTCGCTCCATGAAACGTTTAGTTTCCCCAGTATTTTTGTCTCCGTTTCTGATGCACAGCAGACACATTTGAAGAATTTGTGATCCATCACATTTGTTTCACAATTACAACTATGTAATTTATTTTGCAATGATGTAATGGACTTTAATTGTGTAATTTTCAAATGCAAGATGACTGACAAGTTAACGTCTTTAGAAACAAAAAAAATGCACCAACAGATCAACATATAGTAAGTATAACAATTAATGTTCAGATCAATATCAAGAAATAACCGCAAGCTGCATAGGTCTGTTGCTATTAATTCTTTGCCATAAATCCATCACGGCGTGCTTTGCATTCTGGGAACCCGTAGGCCAGGAGTGGAGAGCGTTTGGATTTTGCTTCCCACCGATTCCCACGATGCACAATGTGACATTACACCGCGATGAGGCGCTTTGAGTTTTGGAACAAGTCCAAGCGTGCTTTCAAAAGAGTAAGACATGAAATAGGGTACAAGCTAAAACATGCATTTATTTACAACTGTACAGATGTACAATGCCACCAAGAGTGAATTTGAGATGAGTGAATACAGTGAAGCTGATATGTTTGGTCAAAGCACTTCAGCATCTTGCGTTCCATGCATGTAAGAAATTGTCATCATTTGGAAAGCGCCAGCAGAATGCTAGAGTTCAGCAAAAGGCTAAATTTATAAAAGTTTCTAACGCATTTCAAACAATACATATATATTCTGCAAAATAAAACATCATAAATAAAGCTCTCATGTACTAACCACACAATGACAACCTACATTACAAAAAAAAAGAAAAAAGGTTCCGTTTTTTAAAAATGATATCTATAGTACTCTGTTTTGCCTTGTAAATCAAAACCAAGTGCTATAAGTCAGTTTTACACAACATTTTAAATAGACAAACTCCTACACACTAGGGGTGGGTCCGCTAAAACTGATGCAAGCTCTTGTAAACATCTTCCACAGCGAAGAAAAGAAACAAAATCGCGTTTCAGAAAGGTCATGAGAAAAGGTGACTTCCGATAGGTTGACGATACCAAGCACATCGCCCCGAACAGATAGTAATAAACGTAATTGCACTTGACTTCCACACCTGTACATTCTACGAGTGCACGCGTAGCCCTGTGACCCCGTATAAACGTATGTGCAGGCATAGGGTGCAGCGCTTCTCTTAGTTGGCATGTGAAGTCGCCTTATTTTCTAGGAACTTAGCAGTAAAAGTACCATGCACCCACAGAAACAGTCTCTGCAAGTCTGAAGCAACATGCAATTAAAGTGACAGGCTGCACAGAAAAGTACCCGAGTGTGTCTACGTCCTTTGCCCGAAGTCTGCCTTCTCGGCAGGCGATCGTCGACTCCAAACGGCGATCTCCCCCAGTTTCCAGAAACGACCAGCAAAGCTTTCCAGCTACAACTCCCTTTAGAACTGTGGCATTTCGTCATAGCCATACCTGCCGCAACGTAAAAATCCCGCAGTGACTAGTACGACGGTGTCGATCCGGGGTAGAGAGACGCGACTCGTCGAAACACATCGTCGAGACCTCCGGTACTCACTAAAAGTAAAAATTGCTAGACGACCGACAGCAAAGAAAGCGTCTAAACAACTCGTCGGCCCAATCTTAAACCGACCACTGACCGCTCTCGTCAGGATGTAGCTAAGCAGCCTCGTGCAAGGCTGTGGCAACGGTCAAGATTCCTGAACGGGCGTTGCGGGCAAGATGTTGCCTTGCAAACACATTGCGGTAGCGTTCAGGACAGCTCAAAGCCCGTGTTGCTGGTGATCGCGTAGCGCAGCTTGTCCCTCAGCGTGCTCTTCTTCTGGTAGTTCGGAAGCTTGAGCAGGTTGAAGCACGTCGACGACGTGGGTAGCCGGTTGACTGGGTCGCGCTTGCGGATGGTGAAGAAGCCACGGATCACGCTGGCTATCGTGTCTCCTGTGTCCTGCGTGCGATGGGACAAATGCTGCCGTCAGAATGCCGAGATCTTATTGCCCGATTGAAAAAAGACAGTGGGTAGACCTTGAGACATCTAGCGTCGAGGTCTACCCGCTATCCTTCCACTCAAAGCCAATCGGAAGCTGGCGTCATCCCAATGTCACCGCAACCTCTGCGCAAGAAGCGAATGACTTGCCCTCCAAATGGGTTTCATGCACGAGGCTGAAACTACGGCCCCTTGAACGAGTCTCTGATTGGCGTGTTTAACGCATCCTCAAACGAGCTTTCTCGATTTCTGCTTGATGACATTGCATAAGTGTTGCGCTGTTGCCTGTTGTGACCCTGGCAGAGGTACAGCAGCAAAGGTGGACGATGCAGAGGCACTTGTACGCAGAGCCAAAGATACGAATGCGGTCTCAAGATTGCCAAGAGTACAAGCTGTTGTTATGGGGATGTTGAAATTTTTGTGGTCCAGTTAGTGACCTAATAGTTTTTTTCAACAAAAAGACGGATTGGTCATTTTAGGTCACATAGGTTAGAAATTTTTAGTATACTTTGGGTACACAAGATAAACAACGACCCCTGTTCATCAGTCTCTTCCAGAAAATGCGGCCAACTGGGTATTCGAACCAGACTACAAGAGCATTGATCGCATGTGAGGCTCACCTGGTCGTCACTGACTTCCACGCAGCGGATGGAGAAGGGAGGCTCCAGATGGGCAAAGCCCAGGAGTGGAGGCTTGGAGCAGCTGGTCACAAACTGGGCCGTTGGAAGAAAAAGAGATTTGAGCGACGCTATCCAAAAAAGTCTTCGATAGAAGAATGCTATGATAAGACGTCGAAGGCTGAGGTCATATTTTTAGTCATTTTTAGCTCAGTCAATCGGCACTGTCTATCAAAGAACCAAAAAGTAAGGCCAATATAAAAAGCTTTAATGCATAAAACATATATACCATCGAGACCAGTTATAACAAAGGCAACGGGAATCGGAAATCACTTTGCTATATATCCGCTTCTTCGTTATATCTAAAGTCCATAAAAGTAACGCGAAAAAATAAAAAAAAGAGAGCACAGGTTGTTGTGGGCATGTGTTGTCTATTGTGCCTGCAGAAAGAAAGTGGTCGAGGGTTCCCTGCATGCGCTCTCTGCTAGTTCAGAGCTGCTTCGCGCCACCCGCAAGAAGCTCCAATCTAGAGACGGTCCTGCGAGCTACATGCATACCGTATCGACAGCTGTGACAGTCGCCACCCCGGAGGACGCCGGTGATGGACGGCGTTCTTTATGCTTATGCGCACTTTGTTGAGAATGGCACGCTTTTGTTTCGAGGAGATTGCCTTCGTCTTCCTCGTCGAGGTGCCGATGGTGGCAGGACTCGCCATTGTTGAGAGGTGACAACCCGCCGAGTTTGTGCTGGAGCAAAGTTGGACTTTCGCGCAGAGAGCGACCACACCGACCAGTGACGTCGACGCGGAACATGAGGCAAACGAAGAAGCACGCACGATACCGAGTTCGCACTTACGTTTGTGTTTCGTCGCTACAGAGGGGCTGGATATAAGGGGGGACGGGTATCTTAGGTGCCAAAATAAAACATAAAAAAATGTTTGAACAGCAGCAGAGGCTTTATTACACAACATTTTGGGAAGAGGCTTAAATCTCTTTTCGAAACGTTGTGTAATAATGCCTCTACTGCTGTTCAAACATTTTTCTATGTTTACGACTTTGTTGGTGAAGTCTTGTTCATTAATACAGTTAGTGCCAAAATATCTTTAAAAATTACTTTTTTTTTACATCGTGATATTGAAATTTAGAGCTGTCTTCCCAAGTGTCCAACATCAATATATAACATGTATGCAGGTCGGATTTCCGTGGAAGTTTTTGCTAAAATGGCAGGAGGGATATCTCAACATCCAGGGCAGCTAGAAATAAATTTGTTTTGCAATATGAAACTTAATATTTGAAGCATTCAATGTTGCGAGCGGAATCTTTGCTATAAGCCTAGGAAATTTTTTAACTGATCCGTTGTTTTATTACTTGGTCACCCCACATTGAACAATGACCTTCAATGTGCCGTAAAATGATTAATAATGTTTAAATCTCAAAAGTACTTCCAACGTTGCATTCTTTATACTTTTTAGTATCCAGCCACGTGTTAAACACAATTTTTTGTTAAGTGCATGTTTCTCTATTGTTCTTGAGAACAAAGGCAACTAATCTGCTGATTGAAAGACTGACCAAATATCTGCATTCAGCAAGAAAAACTGAACAAGCTTGTGCATTTTCAACAGTATTGGGTAAGTTACTTTTAAAAAGTAATTCGTTACAGTTACTTTCAGAAAAAAGTAGCGAAGTTACGGTTACAGTTACCTCAAGAAAAGAGTAACTCGTTACAGTTACTTTTAAAAAGTAACGACGTTACTTTTCAGTTCCTAGTATGCTTTTTACTTCATATTGTAAGTTAGCAGCAGTTGCTTCTCGAAATTAGTATGAAAGTTTCCCTGGTTTAATGGCGAACATGCCCCTGCCCTTCCTGAACAGACCCCGCGCAACCAGAGCAACGAGCAAACTCCGCGGAAACAGCAGTAAATGTTGCCTCAACTGTTGACACCACGCCAGAGTAGTGGCGCAAATCAAAATACGAATTATGCGCAGTACCCTCCGCGTGTATTGTTGTTTCACAGTTGATCCACCAATTAAAAAGCGTTTGCGCAAAAAAAAGAACAACTTCAACAAGAGAGCGCTCCAAGATACTAAGATGTAAGTGTTCAGTCAGAAGGTACACGTGCGTCCGTAATGATAACAATTTTTTTTCACCACATCTACACGTGGCTATATTCGGGTCGTGACTCGCGAGAAAGAAAGTATTTACAAGTTCGTGCAAGGTCAACTTGACACTCGAAATGTCGGAACAGACAATTTGGAAAGTGCAAGGAATAGCTAGAATGTACTCGTTCAATGATATATTATTCATAAAAAACTGGAAAGTAATGCCAAAAGTAATGTCATTATACTTTCATCCTTGCCTGAGAAAAAGTAATCGAACTATACACCTTTCCAAAAAACGCTCCTAGGCCGCCGCCATGTTGCTGATGCTGATGCGGCTGGTGCGACTCTCGCGCCCTCTATCAGCTAGAAATTTTCTGCCACTCTCTGGGACTGTGAAGACCCGCTCAGCGCGGTTCTCTACCTACGTTTTTGCGGTTTTGTATTCAACGTTTTCTCGCACCTCTTGAAAGTTTCCACTTAATTTTTTTATGCGTGCTGAGTACCCTCCTTGTGTTATCTTCCATTGTGAGAAATAAGGCTGGTAAGTGCCTGCCATTCAAGCTTCTCTGCTCGACATTCACGGGAAACGAAGGAGGTGAAGGACGTCGAACGACCCTCGACGCGATTTTGCGAACATTGTTCTCCCCCCTCCCAGAGATAATCCGCGTAGAATCCTCAGTCATCTCCAAAAATAGTTGTCCGGGTTGGGGTGAGAAACGGGTAGTCCCGTTTGTTTCTTTGCCTGGGTGCGGTTGTGAAAAAAGGAAGCTCTCCCCGAAACGTGCCCCAAAACGAAGTCATCTGGGATTCCGTGCGATCGTCAAGATGTGACTGTCGTCGACTGTGACTGTGTTATTTGAGATCTTTCTCAAATAAATTCTTTTCGGATAACGCTGCATCGTGTGGTACGTACGATATATTGTTCGAATGTGAACACTTCCTCAACTGTATGTCCGTGTCCTGTCCATCGGTAAACACGTTATTTGTGAGTGTGAAAAATGCATGCCTTTCGGACCTCTTCTGTTGCAATTTATTTTTGACAGCAAAACGCTTTGTCGTTTCACATGCGGCGAACCCCGCTGCGCCGTCAAAACTTATCGTAAGAAAAAAAAAAAAAAAAAAAACTAGAACTATACATTTCAGTCGCATTCGTTCTGTCGCGCGCATACCCAACAAAAATAGTTAACAGTTCTTTTTTTGTTTTTTCAAATGTGGTACAATGCTTTCTCAATGTCCTCGGGAAAATACATGTACCATGAAACACAAAATATCGCGGGAAAAGACGAGAATTTAGCCGCCAGCAGCGTTTGAAACTGCGCCTACGCAGGCTGCGCCTATTGAAATCACAGTCCCCTCGGTTAGGGTTAGGAGGGATGCCGGTGAGAGTCTAGCCTCAAACTCAGTGACTGGGCTCGAAAACGGTTTGTTGCCCCTGGGGTCGAGTGTTTTTTGGAAAGGTGTATAGTTACAAGTTACATTCTTAAAAAGTAACTCGTTACAGTTACAAGTTACCAAAAAAGTAACCAAGTTACAGTGATGCATTACTACAGGTTTTCCCGCTCATTTTAACCCTAGCGACGACCAATTTAATCCTGGGATCACTCAATTTAATCCAAGCGCCACGCAATTTAATCCCGGGGTCAGTCAATTTAATCCACACATATATATATGCACTTATTGTGTTCAGTGGTCATGTTCCGCCTACACATTTGGTAACTTAGAACAATTGTTTATACAATTAGAACTTTTGGCGGGCAATTGATAATTTGATCACTAATGTGATTAGTTTGAGTTAATACTCCTACTACTGACGAGGCTTAATTGATATGGTTACTCTTTTTAGAGCACTGCTTTTAGGCACCCCTTTTCGGCTTGAGCGGCGTCAGCGTAACCACGCGGTGCATGGTGGGTAAATTCCCCCACGAAATTTAGCGAAAAAATTTTCCCGCCAAATCTTGCGGAAAAGTTTCCCCGCTAAATTTATTGGAAATTTTACTAGCTAGATCTAGCGGAAAATTTTGCCCGCTAAATTGAACGAAAAATTTTTTCCGCTATATTTAGTGGAAAATTTTCCCCGCTAAATCTAGCGGAAAATTTTCTCAGCTAGATTCAGCGCAAATGTTGCCCCGCTAAATCTAACGGAAAAGTTTCCGCGCTAAATCTAGCGTAAAATTTACTCCGCTAAATTTAGCGGAAAAAAATTCCCCGCTAAATCTAGCGGGAAAGTTTTCCCGCTATGTTTAGCGGAAAATTTTCCCCGATAAATCTAGCGGAAAAGTTACCCCGCTAAATTTAGGCGGATATTTTCTCACTAAATTGAGCGGAAAAGTTTTCACGCCAAATCTAGCGGAAAAGTTTCCCCTCTAAATTTAGCACAAAATTTTCCCAGCTAGATTTAGCGGGAAATTTGCCCCGCTGTCTAGCGATAAATTTCTCCGCCAAATCTAGCGGAAAACTTTCCCCGGCAAATCTGGCGGAAAACGTTCCCCGCTAAATCTAGCGGAAATTTTCCCAGCTAGATTTAGTGGGAAATTTGCCCCGCTGTCTATCGATAAATTTCCCTGCCAAATCTAGCGGAAAACTTTCGCCGGCAAATCAAATCTAGCGGAAAACTTTCGCCGCTAAATCTAGCAAAAATTTTCCCCGCTAAATCTCGCGGAAAATCTTCCCAGCTAAATTTAGCGGAAAATCTTACCCTCTAATTCTAGCGTAAAATTCACTCCTTTAAATTTAGCAGAAAGATTTTCCGCTAAATCTAGTGGAAAAGCTTTTCCTCTAAGTTTAGCGGAAAATTTTCCCCGCTAACTCTAGCGTAAAATATTTCCCGCTATATCTAACGGAAATTTTTCCCAGCTAGATTTAGCGAGAAATTTGCCCCACTGTCTAGCGATAAATTTCCCCGCCAAGTCTAGCGGAAACTTTCCCCGCCTAATTTAGCGGAAAGTTTGCCCTGGTAAATCTAGCAGAAAAGTTTTCCTGCTAAATTTAGTGGAAAAATTTCTCCGCTAAATCTAGCGAAAAATGTTTCCCGCTAAATTTAGCGGGGAAAAATGTTTGCTAAATATAGTGGCAAAAATGTTTCGCTACATTTAGCAGGGAAACTTTCCACCATATCTAGAAGGGCAAATTTTCCGCTAAATACAGCGGGAAAAATTTCCCGTTAATTTAGCGGGAAATTTTTCTGCTAGATTTAGCGGGGAAAATTTTTCGCTAAATATAGCGGGGAAATTTTTCTGCTAGATTTAGCGGGGCAAATTTTCCGCTAAATATAGGGGATAAATTTTTCGCTAGAGTTAGGGGGGAATTTTTCACTAAACTTAGCGGGGAAATTTTTCGCTAGGCTTCGGCAAATTTTCCGCTAAATCCAGCTGTGAAATTTTACCGCTAAATTTAGCAGTGTAAATTTTCCGCTAAATATACCTGGAAACCTTTTCCGCTAAGTTTAGGTGGGAAAGTTTTCCGCTAAACATAGCGGGAAAATTTTTTCGCTAGATTTAGCGGTGAAAATTTTCGGCTAGATTTAGCGGGGAAAATTTTCGGCTAGATATAGCGGGGAAATTTTTCCGCTAAATTCAGTGGGGGAATTTACCCATCATGCACCGCGTGGTGACGGCGACGGCAGCGCCAACGCCGCTCAAGCCGGAAAGGGGTGCCTGAAAGCTGTGCTCCAAAAAGAGTAACCAACACACAATTAAGCCTCGTCAATAGTAGTTCTAGTAACTCAAAGTAATCACATTAGTGATCAAATTATCAATTGCCCACCCAAAATTCTAATTGTATAAAGAATTGTTCTAAGTTACCAAATCTGTAAGCGAAACACGACCAGTGAGCACAGTAAGTGCATATAAATATTGCGGATTAAATTGACTGACCCCGAAATTAAATTGTGTGGCGCTTGGATTAAATTGTATGGCGCTTGGATTAAATTGAGTGACCCCAGGATTAAATTGGTCGTCGCTTGGATTAAAATGAGCGGGAAAACCTGTAGTAACGCATTACTACCCAAGACTGATTTTCAATGGGTTCAGTCAAACAATACAAAGACAAGCACCGCCTCTCCACGCGGTTTTCTCGCCACGCTGACCACACAACAACCAAATGCAGGTGCAGTTGTGCCAATTTGCCCAGGAGGCATCCACCATTAAATTGCAAATGCTCTCCATGGTTGGAATTGCTCCCTCTCTTAAATGTAGGTTCTCTCTGTGGGTTAGTTGTCATTAGCGCTCCAAACGTTCCTATCGACATGCCACGACGGCTCCTCCACGTGCGATGTGGAAAAGCAGCTTCCCAGATAAGGAGCGGGAACCAGACGACGATGCAGACGCTGCCGGCGGCGGCCTTTGCAGCATCGCCTGCGGCCCGTTCTGGGTGGCTGCCCGCCCGCGGCAGCAATGTGCAGCGATCTGCGACTTAATAAAACTTTCCAAATTTGATTTTTCTTTTTTTAATTATTACAAAATCTATCTTTGCTATATCCGCAGGAGCCACTCAATTTGCTTCGCTAAAAACAGACACAAATACATTGAACAAGCGCACACGGGAACGGGAATTCGTGAATGCGTCGCTATAGTCTCTATTTCGTTATAACCGATTTCATCGTAAATGGGTCAAATGGTGCTATTAGATCATGGCACTGTTCCTTTCTATGAGCTTGCTTTGCTGCCAGTGCTCACAATTTTGCAGATCTTATGCCGAATTATTCCTGACAGTTGCGATAAGGCAAGTACGGCCAAGGGCCCCTAACAATATCCAGCACTCATTCGATGACAGTGAGTGCCTGAAGAGGTTTCCCCCGCCAACTTTCCCATGTTGCACAATCCCCATGCAACTCAACAAGAACTGCCGTAGCACCCGCATACCAACGATTAACGCCTACACGTGCCACACGGGCTTTGCTCGCCGGTCCTGCAGACCATGGCCCGCATCGCGAGGAAGAGGCCCACCTTGAGGAAGAGTCGGTGCTCTTCGGAGTTGAAGTCCCTCTCCAGGATGTCCCAGAGCCAGTTGACGAGCCGATGGTTGTTGTGGAAGCCTCCAAAGTACTTGGTGTGTCTCCTGCAGAACACCGATTGTTCTCGCAGAGCCGCCAGACCACAAAACAAATGAGGAGCACAACACCTGAGGTCCTGCAGGTCGATGGGCGTGTTGTCTCCCGAGATGAGCCGCTGCAGCTCGGGCGTGGAGAACATGGTGAGCCAGTCCGGGTTGATGATGGAACGAAAGCCCTTGAGGAAGGCACCCGTCTGGTCGTGGATCTGCATGTGCATCCTGAAGTGCGCCATTAGGTGGATGTAGCTGATCCTGCAACGGCACCAGACACGGCCCATCAAGGCCTCGGATCGATGCAACCGATCGCCGACCTTCTCTGATCTAAAGATCAGGCTGGCGGCAGTCACGGGAAAGACACGAGTGCATGCGTCATGTGTCAAAGGCCACTCGCTTGTTCACGTTGGTGACGGGAACTGCCTTGCCCCCTGGAACCAATTCGTGGGTGACCAGCTTGCCCATGCAGTCTTCGTTGAGGGAGAAGGTCAGGTCCAGGTCTTGCACGTCCCCTTCATAGTGCTGTGGATGTAAGGCAGGCAAATGATCTACAATTGATCTGCAATAATGAAGCAGTGAGCCCAGGAGCTCCCTCCAGGTAAAGTGATTAATCATAGAGGGTGACCTGCAGCAACCTAAGGCACGAGGATGGGTGCAAACTGAGATGAAGTCGAGTGATTTCAAGAAAGGAGAGCATGTTCAGTCTTCTTTCAATTTTCTTTTGACAACTAAAAATCTCAGAGAAATGACTTTGTCAAAGCTACTGCACACCAACACAAGCTTGCATATTATGATCTGAAAACTATTTTTCAAACTCCGAAGATGCAGAAAAATTACACGAGAGCTTTAGAAACCCTGAAAAGTTGTGAGATTTGTAAGTACCTAACTTCATTATTTCTAACTTTGCAAACTTAAAAAATTTAAACGAATAGTATGTCCTTTTAAATGTAATCCACCAGTAGTCACTTCATACTGGTCTGTCGCACTGCCAGTACCGAAGCTACTTGGGACAGAGCTATCTTGGAAGAGGAATATACCTTGATGAGAGTGAGGCTGCGGTAGAGATCTGCGTCCAGAGAGGGAAGTTCATCTATGGAGCTGTAGAGGGCGCTGTGTTGGTGGCCAAGGAGCTGACTCAGGAAGAACGAGGCAAAGGGCACATCCACAACTATGCCCTGCAAGCACGAAAAAAACACAACCACTTAGAAGCCAATCTATATCAAACAAAGTCAAAGAAATTATTGATACCTCTCCACCAACTATGCGCAGCTTTGATTAATCTACTGCATTGAATATTTAAATCCACATAAAATCTCTGAGGTGTGCCGGCTTGGTAAGCTGATATAAGAACTGACGACGACAAACAACGAATGACTTGTTCGTCATTCTTGTCCAGCTCGCTTGCACCTTTTCATTTATTTGCATTATAATCATAAAAGATATAAAAAGTGTTACGATTCTGATAGTTGCGAATTTTACCCAAGCTGTTATGGTAAACGAAAAAGTCAAATGGTGGAATGTACGGCAGTCTGTAATATAACCACTAATTCAATAAATGTCGAAAAAAGGCTACTCTCGATGTACCACCAGGTCATAAACCATTCATTGTATAGCAATATGTACTATTCTTACTAAAAAAGTGCCATCCACATTGCTCCTCACACTCGTTTTAGCAATGGTAAGTCGCCAACCAATTTTTCGGATGCCGATACTTCGGCATCCGAAAAAGGAGGAACTGTGGCCTACCTGATAGATATAGTGCACATTCACGACCTACGTTTCGGACAGCTGTTGAAGTCCAAAAGCTTAATTTTTCGGACAAAATTGTTGTGTGCGATCGGCGGGAAACACCGAGAAGCAGCCATTTTGAAATTGGATTTTATGTTGGCTGCGCATGGATTAGCTTGGTTTGGCAGTGCTACTTGAGTACTGCTAAGTCCTACCGCTAGGTGACGCTGTACGGCTTTTTTTTCTCTAGCTGTGCGTCATCATCATCATTGTTGTTACCATTTTGCTTGCATTTTCCTTAGTTCATTCGCCATTGCAGTCGTGGACTTGCGCCTCTCATCTCTATCTCGTCTCGGTGAATCGTGTTTTCGGACTACGCTTGATTGGACGTCATTGCCCCATCTGTTCTTCCGCCGCCGCGATGTGTTGCTAAGAAGCGCAGAAAGTACTCAACCATATTTATGAAAAAAGAAGGCAGTGATTCTCAAGCTAATAGAAAGTGGCTTTTTAAGCCCTGCTTAGATGTAATACTACAGGCAAGTTTTTATATCTGCTGATTTTTCGGACTGCTCTATTATTTCGCAGATTTTTCGATCCCTGCGAAGTCCAAAAAATTTGTCAGCGACTATACAGGGTGTTTCTCAAAACAGGAGCCAAATCTTTCCTGCAAAAAGTGTGCATCACACAGAAAAATTGTTAATGTCTTATTGGTCTCTGCCCATCTCGTAAAATTAGTAACGTTCGGTAAAATGAGTCTGTTAATTACATTTTGAATAATGAACTAAATTAGTGAGTTTATAGGCACGATTTCAATTAGAAAATTGCTGAGGATCATTGAAAACCACTTAAATCAAATTATTTTAGAGATATGTAGTAGACACATACAGCATTTTACCGCATTACGAGAAAAACGCTCAATTTGGATGCATTTCCAGGATTTGATTTCCAATCGGAGCGCATCTTTGAGCCAGCAATCCTGCCTCCCACAGCCGAAGCACTCAACTGGCGCTTCGCCTCCCTCACAGGAGGGAAGAAATCTTGGTGCATGGGCGTTCTCTGCAATGGCCACGGGAGGCAGGACCACTGGCACAAAGATGCACTGATAGTAGACCGAAACCTAGAAACGTGTCCAAACTGAGCGGTCTTCGGAACGCCGTAAAATGCCTTCTATATTTCTAAATAAATTCATTCAGTCGTTTACGATGATCCTCGGCAAGTTTCCAACTGAAACCATATCTTTAAACTTAAATTCATTTTAAAAGGTTAGTGACTAGAAAGTGATTTGTAAACTAATTATACAGAACATGATTAACTTTACCAAATGAGCCCTTTGGCAGAAACCAATATGACATTAACCTTCTTCGGTGTGATGCCTACTTTTAGCAGGAACGATTTGGCTCATGTTTTGAGGAACACCCTGTAGCATAATGTAGCCTTTCAAGCTACACAAATTTAGAGGGTGCTAAATAATTAGTAGTTCCAAACATCCTTCGCCTTCATTACACACAGCACGTGAATGTGAGACTCGGTTGTGAAGCACTACAGTTAATCACAGAAAGAGGAATGCATAGATACGGTAAAACTCTAATCAATGTAGCCTGATGCCAACCAATTGTAACTATACCTTAAAATAACGTTCATTTCGTTTAGGCGAGCTCGGGAATATCTAGGGAGAAAGTGTGAGCCGCTGCTGCTTGCAACCTGATTACAATATCGTTTTCAATGATAATGAGGGCTTTTAACATAATTAGGAGCAAACTAAACAAGCCTTAAGAAAGTGCACTGACCTCATAAACTGCCTTGCCCAGCATTTTGCCCACAAACTCGAAGAGGGACAGGTGGTTCTCATGAATGTAGGATGTGGGAGAAGGGTACAGCCGTTGCTCAGAAGTCGCCTACGCGCAGAGCAGGGGTGAATCAGAACCAGTTAGACACTGCTCTGAAAGAGCAAGCTCGTGTGTAAATAGAGAGGGAGCAGCAAAACCCATCCCATAGAAACGGACATGGTGTTCGGCAAAACAAGGTCATCTGCCATACAAACACAGCAGTTGGAGTCATTGCATTATGACTCCAACTGCCATCTATAAAATATCCAACAGTTGGAGTTACTATGTTATCTTTTATAGATGGCAATTCTGCCATCTATAAAATTTTAAACAAAACAAAATTGCCTCATATTGCCTCAGTGTGCTAACTTCACAATAAAATCGTTGTAATATGTGCTGCTTGAAAAAAACTGAGTTGAAAGTATACAAGAGAACTGTTGTTGAAAGCTGATGCATCCTCAAGAGCTTGTCAAATGCTTTCAAGTCCCAGCGACCTCAGATTTGGAACTTTTACGTGGGATTTCAGCTTTCTCACTTTACTGTGTCCCCTCCTGCCTCTAGTCTGTTTTGAACAGGATAGCTGCTTTGATATTCTCAAGGAAGAATGAACCCAAAAGGTTTGGAACTGAACCTAATGTTGTATGCCCATAAGCCTTTTAGGGTCTCGCAAACAATCTCTGTCATGATTCTAGGATTGTTAGTAGTCTCAAAGTCTAAAAAAACGCATACCTAGCTACATAAACAGACATGCACCAAGGTGCATGTCTGGGTATGGGTACATGCACCAAGGTGCATGTACCCACACGACTAGGTTCTATATGAGTGGGGTTACTATTCGACCGATGCATGGTTCAATTTCAGAAAAATTGCCACCTGCAGGTGTTGACACACAAGGGGACACTGATCACGTATGTATCCCGATCAGGTTGAGCAAAGGTCAGAGGAGACACCGCATGCGTACATACCCTGAACAGGTTGAGCGAAGGGTCAAACACTCGCTTGATGGTCTCCTCCAGGAATTCCTTGAACACTCCGTCTTGATCAATGCCCGCTTCGTCTAGCCCCTTGGAAGAAGGCAGGGAAGGGGACAAGGTCACTACAGGCCATGTAGAATACTACAGTATTTATTCGAATATAAGTTTACCTTTTTTTCGTAAATGTTGTCAAAAATTAAGGGTCGACCTATAATTGTGACCAGAGAATTTCGACCCAAATTCGCTACCAAATTTCGGGACCATACTGAGCGCATTGAGCTATCGAGTCACCGAGCCAGCGTCGCAGTAGCGCCGGTAGCGCCGTGCCATTTCTTCCTTCAGAAAGCTTTTGGTGCACGAAAATAACCAAAACAGCTGCGGCAGGCAGCCTGCCATCCGCCATGGCCGTCACTCGCGCGTATCCCTCAGGCATCTGGTTTTGTTGGTTTCGGACCGCCTGTCCGCGGCCGGCACTACTCACACATGCCCCTTGCGACCGACCCTCCCCCTCACAGAAGTGCAGCAAAACAAAATACGGAGGTACTTCTGTTTCATGTTGCTCATGGCGGGTCGCGGCGTTGCTTGCGTCTTTGTTCTTTTATCGCTTTGCCCGTCTCCACCTTCTTTTGTTTCTAGTTGTTGCCAGTTTGCAACAGTGTCAGTGAGGTATTAGGTGTAGTCCAAACCAACCCGCAAAACAGGAGAAAACGTCCCGGAGAAGTCCGGGGGAAAGGAGTGTTGTCAAAGGTCTCATAAACGCAGTGTTTTGCGGCTCCCGCTTCGCGGGTCAAAAAATTAATACAACTGAACATTCTCGGGCCCCGGACAGTGCTGGACAGACCTGTAGAGCCCTTCGGCCAAGCAGGGGAAGGCGGTCCGCCCTCCTTGCCCTCCGAGCAAACCATGAGCGGAGTGAGGTGGAATGAGGGGGGGTGCGCTAATTGCTTCGCTTCTCAGAAATTCAATGAAAGGACAGAGGGAGGCTTAAGAAGCAGTTGCTTTTGTTGTATTCTCTCCCTCGAAGTCACTCAAGGATCCCACAAAGAGTGCCTTTTAGATCGCAGCTCTTAGGGGCCCCTTTTCGGCTTGAGCGGCGTTGCCGTCAGCGTAACCGCGAGGTCACGTGACCCCCCAAGTCACCTGACCCCCAAGGTCACGTGCCCCCCTTTCGAGGTCACGCTAACCCCCTCCCCGAGGTCACGTGACCCTTTGAGGTCACGTGACTGCCCTGAGGTCACGTGACACCCTCAGGTCACATGGGGGGTCACGTGACCCCCTCTCCCCCCTCCGAGGTCATGTGGCCCCCTGACGTCACGCGGTCGCATGACCCCCCCGAGGCCACGTAACCCCCCTAGGTCACTTGAACCCCCAAGGTCATGTGACCCCCCCTCCCCGACGTCACGTGACCCCCTGTCACACGACCCCCCCCCCCCCCCCCCCCCTGAGGTCACGTGACCTCAAGGAGTCACCTATGCCTCAGTACGCTTCCATCCTCCTCCTCAAGAGCTGCACTCTAACCGGCGTTACAGGGAATTGTAAACAGCTTTCATTTTTTTTCACTCTCCCGCCCGTAATGTGCATTTTTCCACTTTCTTTCTCAATTTTTCCGTTTCCAACGTCCCGGTGAACTGTCCCCAACTTCTTGTCCATACACTCTCGCACGCTTCCGGGGTAAAACGGCAGGTGGAAGTTGTAAAAAAAAAATGTGTTCCACCTCCCTCATCTTTGCGGGCCTGTTTTGTGGCTTGGCATGGACAGCCATTTAGGCAGTTTTAGAATAGCGCACGCTAAAGCTTTGCATATGCAAAGAATAGGGAGTTTTCGTAGACCCCATTTCCTCCTCCACTAAGCCCTCCGCAACGAAGAAGTTGCTACTGCGCCTGCGCGCCGATAGCCTTGACTGTAGAGTTCCGGGTATCGTAGAGGGTTGCGCGGAGGGCATTGCGGGACGGCGAAAATGATTTACAAAAACTCCCTATTAGCGTCGCTGCCACTGCGCATGCATCGAACATAAATGCAGTTCGCGCTTTGCGTGCACTATTTCTAAGAAACAGCGTGCATATGCAAAGAGTCTTTGCATTTGATTGTGCTCCTCCAAGAAGGATTCGTGATGAGAGGTTAAGTTAAAGCTAAGACGAGCACAGTAAAAAAATGGCAGCTCCCTGGACTGCAGCTGCAGTCGCTTTGGCGGCGTCGTGGGCGAGACGTTGGCGGAATTCTTGTGACTGCAATTTTCAACACAGGACGATATTGCACTCCTACGGGAGGTGCACGCCAGAAGCGTTTTGAAAGACCCTGCAAAGTGGGCAACGATCGCCGGCAACTTGCTGCATGCGACGCGCAAAAATTTCTTGATGAAGGTCAGTACACGAGATCTCTGTTGCTGAGGCAACGCAAGCGGACACGACCGATCGACCACCCCAGTCGCATCTAAAATGTTACTCTGAGCTAAAAAGCCTGTTTTTTCTAAAGTTACAGCATTTCGTGAGTGAAACAAAAACTGTCACATCATCTTGGTGGCATTGCAAGAGCGAGATGCTTGGGCTTTTGTGTCGCGGCGGAGACAGGCTATTTTAAAACGCTCATGCGTAGCGTGCACTAAAACAAGCGCTAAATTTAGCGCTAGTGTGTGCTAAATTTGCACATGTTATTCTCAAACTTCCTATTGTTGCGACATGTGAGGATGTCATGAAGCTGACAAAGCTTTAGACGTTGATGAAATGTCCAGAAGCCCTGATGATGATTGAGTTTTTGACATTGTACAGTGCTTTAGCTGAGAGCACTGTAAATCAAGTTTTTTTTTTCATGCTTTAGCCCAAACTTTCCTTTGTTATTTAAAAAAAAAGGTTTACCTATATTAAAATTATTTCTTTTTATTCTTGGCGAGTTTAATATAAAGGCATTGAACTATATTTGAGGTCGACTTATATTCGAGTACCATATTTTCCGGACTATAAGTCTCTTCTTCTTCTTCTTCTTTTTGTGAGGTCCAGAGAAGGAAAGGGAAAGCCGGGAGAGATGTTGGCCTCTTGTACGGGGCGAGTCGCTACCCGGCTTAGGGAAGGGGGAGGAGCCGTAGGTGGCTAAAAGAGATAGTGTGGAAATTTGGAAACCAGTCCAATAATGTGATGGGGCTTTGGCACAAGTGTGGGTTTCAATTTAACAACCTTGCTGTTTGCGGTGTGTGGTATTAGGTCATAGACGGTCTGCCAAACCAGTCTCACTCAAGAAATCCAAGAGGTCTTTGTAAGCCCTCTGGACTAGCCGACATGGGGCTTCTGGGATGAGGAGTTCCCGAGTGGTGGAGGAAGGAAGTCCATTGAAAGTGTAGCGTTGAAACAAGGTTTTACGCTCTTCTTCGTACTCTGTGCACACTAGTAGCACGTGTTCAATGTCCTCTAGGGCTCCACAGTGTAGACAATCAGGACTATTGACTCGTTGAAGTTTGTGCAGAGTTGATCTTGTGTTTGCGCAGTTTGCCCTCAGCCGATGTAACATTGACGCTTGTTCTCTTGACAGCTTGCGGGGGATTGCTGGAGGGAGCCGTCCTTCAGCCGTCTCTCGGTGTGGGTGGCGCTTTTGGTAGAAATTTCGTAGAAATCGCCATGCTTCGTTGTACCGGCGAAGGGAAATGGTTGGGGTCTCAAGTCCATGGGCTTCAGTAGCGAGAGCATCCGCTTTCTCATTTCCCGCAATTCCAGTATGTGCAGGACACCACTGAAAAGCAAGTTGCCAACCCTTTCTTTCAGCTGACCTGGCAGATGCTACAGTTGTTGCAGTCGATGGAGTGCCAGTCTCGGGGTTCCGGAGAAGTTGAAGAGCAGATTTCGAATCTGTGAGAATGACCGCTCTCCCTGGTGTTCCACTTCGCACTAGCAGCTCCAAAGCCCGCCAAATGGCCACCAGCTCCGCAGTAGTGGATGTTGTGGCGATGTTCAGTCTGTCTGCAATGCAGACGTTGTGAGTTGGGATGAAGACTGCTGTCGTAGTAGTTCCTGTCGCCGGACTAGTGGAGCCGTCTGTGTATACTTGCAGCCATTCAATATACTCTGTGTAGAGTAGTTCATGAGTCAAAAGGCGAGAAATTGTCCCAGAAACACTCGCCTTGCTATGCATGTAAGGGAGGGTTTCACTTATCGTCAGTGGTACTTCTAGATGAGGCTGCGGCGGTGGAGGGATATGTCCGGGTGGTCCTATAAGATCTTCGAACTGTCTCGCCAAGTAGCCAAAGCGGGAGTTCGGGCGATCAAGGACGTGTGAGAGTAGTGAACTCCCAGAGGACACACCATGAATTCGTGCAAGGTGACGGCAGGCGCGCTCATCAGCCCGGAGGAAAACAGGCCATTCTTCAGCAGCAATGAGTGTGGCAACGTTTCCCGCGTATCGCGGCAGCCCAACGCACATCCTTAGTGCTACACGGTGAAATGTTTCAACGTCACGTTCTTGTGCTGGTCCGATGTTGAGTAGTGGCAGAGTATAATGTAGGCGGGAAAGGATTAAACCTTTATATAACTGAAGGAGGGCGTGTTGTGGTGTTCCCCAGGTATGGCCGCGGAGGCACCGCAGAACTCCGAGAAGGCTGCGGCACTTGGAGAGAACTTTGCGGACTTCTGGTCTCCACGTTACCCGATCATCTAACAACAATCCAAGATATCTGTGTGTCCTCACCCTCTTGACTGGCATCCCAGCCATCTTGAGTTGCAGCGCTCGTTCGGGGGGGCGTCCTCTCGGACGGTAAAGCAGCGCTGCTGTTTTCTCATGGGAAAGTGTCAGTCCGAGTTTTTCTATGGCATTGCAGATTGTATCGAGTGCCCCTTGGAGTTTACAACGAATCTTCCTTGCCCTTCGAGTTGGGCCAGCGCACCAAAGAGCCACATCATCTGCATAGATGGATATCTGCACATGGGACGGTCCCTGCTGGCGAAGTGAGCTTGGAAGCAATGCCATGGCTACATTGAAAAGTAAAGGACTAAGGACACTTCCCTGAGGAACGCCCTGAGTCACAGTACATGGACTGCTAAGTGCTCCCGGGACCCTGACCCGAATCGTTCTACCAGAGAGAAATGCCTTAATATATTCGAGCATTTTCCCTTTTACTCCGAGCTGTCTGAGGCGCTGGAGGATAACATTATGCGGAAGTGTATCAAATGCTCGTTTTATGTCTAAAAACACACAGTGAAGCATGTTGCGGCGTGCTTTTGCCTCTTCGAGTGCAGATGCCAAGTCGCCCATTGCGTCTGCTGTACACCTCTTTGCACGAAATCCTGACAGCTGGTGTGGCATCGCATGTGATTGCTCTAGGTGCCATGTCAGGCGTCTCAAGACCAGGCACTCAAGTAGTTTTCCCAGGCAGCTTGTCAGGGACACAGGTCTATAGGATGAGGGGGAGTGGCTTGGCTTACCGCATTTCAAAACTGGAATTACGATAGATTCTAGCCAGGTCATAGGCAGAATGCCTGTTCTCCATATTGAGTTGAGTGTCTCTAAAAGTCGTGGATGATGAGCTTGGTCTATGTTTTTCAATGCTTGATACGTGATTCCGTCTGGCCCGGGTGCACTTCGGCGTTTGCAATGTCGGAGCGCATACTGCAGTTCAAAGATGAGCTTTTTTGTTTACACGCATTCGTATAGCAAAATTGGAGTGTCGCACGATTGGCTAGATCGCACATACCATTTGACGCACAACTTTGACGTTTCGACTCACGAGAAATGCACATAGCACGGCGCTGTCTGGCAAGGGCAATCGAGTGTTTTGCAGCAAAAGGACGTAAAACGTGCAAAATGAGAAGGTAGTCTGCTTTATTCGAGCCAACAAATGCCAAGCGAATGAAAGTTTAACGGGCCAGACACTTATGAACCAGGCTCTGGACCACTAGGCCTAGCCTAGGTCAAGTACAGGAGACAACGCGTGCAATGATGCGCAGGCAGATAGATAAATCTTGACCAGTGGCGTACTAGGCCACCCGGCACCTGGAGCCCTTATGTCTTTCGTAGACACCCCCACATACACTGCCTGAGATCGCAACCGACCAGTAAAGCAAGGGGGGGGGGGGGGGGGGGTGCTGGGTGCTTAGGTAGCATCCCCCCCACGTGACTGGGACCTCTGGTACTTTGTACCCGGGGCCCAGGGCCCTCAGCCTTGCCCACCCGCCGCCCCCTTCGCCCGTTACTACGCCACTGATCTTAATATACTTCTTTTAGTACCTCTAAAAGATTAGCTAGACACAATCCTTTTTTTTACATGTAACAACACAGCTGAAACATCGCAAAAAAAACTGCTCATCAAACGGAAACTAGGAAGACGTGAGAAAATATTCTGCAATGTGTGTATACCAGCCCACTTGCCTTTCAGTGTTATAGGATTAAAGCAAAAGATTATGGAACCATGGTTGAATTAGGCAACATCGATCACATGCTGTAAAAGCTTTATCCTCATTGTCTTGCCTATCCACATTGAACCGCTTCAGGGAAGCCACAAAATTTCCCGCTTTCCGAGTCAGTTATGAAATCTGTAGAAGAGTGCGGCGACAGCATTGTCATTACCTATGGCTACATAGTTACAATGCTCTACGAAAGATGGTGCGCGGCGCATAAAAAAAATGGCATTGTACCGTTAATTAAAAAAAGAAAGCATATAAGTCGCATCATTGTATTAGACACACCAAGAAAAATGTTTGAAAAAAACCTGCGACTTATACACTGAAAAATACGGTAAATGCCAAGTGAAAAAAACACAAACCTTATGCAGGATTTGCACTGATCATTTTCCCCGAGGTTCTTTCTTCACGTTTCTGCCAATGCACACTTTTAGAGACAAATATCAAAAACTGAATGCCCTAATTAAAAAATAAAAATTAAAAATGGGTCGACCTATAATTGTGTAGATGGTGGTAATAATATTAATAATAATAATAATCACCTGCTCGTTGATGAAGCGAACTCGTATGACTCCCTTCAATGCCTGGGTGGGCAGCATGGCTAGCTGCTGGTAGCCATCCTGATAACAGACAGGAAGTTGTCATGGAAAGATTAGAAGTTTGTAGAGTGATATTGACATGATGCATGTCGCCAGCACAAAAGTAGGCAAATGCTAAAGTCTCCTCTACCTAAGGAAACTCGAGCAAAGAGCACTTCAAAAGCGGTGTGCCTACTCTACAAACAAGTAGAGATGTTGACTAAGCAATCTCCAGTTACAGAAGTGTTGAAAATTAAGCTAGTTGGCACCGATTGACTATAAAAGGAAGCACACAAAAAACGAGGACCAAAGGAAGGCACATACTACAAACGAGCACTCACCTCACAACTCAACATTTACTTTTACACTTTGCAAAAACAGAAGGAATCACAACCTGGTTCGCTCATGCACAAATCTCGCAAAAAAATTAAAAAAAAACGTTCCCAAAATAAAAGAAATTCCAGGAATATACCGTATTTACTCGCACAATGAACACACTCGCGTAATGAACGCACCCCCCAAGTCGGCTTTCAAGATTTCGACTTTTTTTTTTTCACTCGCGTAATAAACGCACCCCCAACTCGGATGTCAAAATTTTGAGCCCTTTCCCCCACGCACGCGAAATGAACGCACTTTTTTATCCTGGTGCAGTGAGGTCGCGAATGCATGGGCAGCGTGGGCGAACAAAACGCCTCGCAAAAGGCGTTAAAAAATTGGCAAAGATCCAACGGAAACCAGGAAAAAAAACATGGAGAGGAGCCACGAAAATAATCCCTGGAGAAGGGGAACAAGAGGGACAAAGGACAAACATAAATCTCCAAACACAGCTAGGTGACTGGTGAGCGACCGAAAAAATCCGCCTGGTCCGGGTATCGAACCCGGGACCTCTCCATTATAGGTGGAGCGCTCTACCAGTCACCTAGCTGTGTTTGGAGATTTATGTTTGTCCTTTGTCCCTCTTGTTCCCCTTCTCCAGGGATTATTTTCGTCATTCTTGTCCAGCTCGCTTGCCCCTTGGCATTTAATTGCATTATAATTACAACCTTAACTTGCAAGCTTCACCCTTGTTGGTGTTAGACTGGTGGCAACTGATAAAACCCGTTTGCTCTACTGACGTCTAACCCCTGGTTAGCTCAGTTGGTAGAGCGCTCCACCTGTAATGGAGAGGTCCCGGGTTCGACACCCGGACCAGGCGGATTTTTTCTGTCGCTCACCAGTCACCTAGCTGTGTTTGGAGATTTACGTTTGTCCTTTGTCCCTCTTGTTCCCCTTCTCCAGTTATTATTTTCGTCATTCTTGTCCAGCTCGCTTGCCCCTTTGCATTGAATTGCATTATAATTATGGAAAGAAGCTGCTCTCTTTTTTTTGCACAGCGCAGTATGGACTTTGGGTTTGCGCGCCGCCGCGCGCCAGCAGGTAAGAAAGAGAAGCGGAAAACAAAGAGGAGCTTTTTTTTTTTTTCTTTTTGCACAGCGCAGTTTGGTTAGGGGGGGTCGTGCCCCGCGCGCAAGGAGGTAAGAAAGAGGAGCGGAGAAGCCCTCTAAGCAAACGAAACAGCTTGCGAAAGGTGGCAAAAAAAAAACAAAAAAACCCAGGGAACTGAGAAAAAAATAAAAGAAAAAGAGGAGCTTTTTTTCTTTTTTTGCACAGCGCAGTTTGGTTAGGGGGTGTTGTGCGTCGCCCCCGCGCGCAGGAGATAAGAAAGATAAGCGGAGAGCCCTCGCCTAAGCAAACAAAACAACTTGCAAAAGGCGGCAAAAAGAAAAAAAAAAAAAAAAAGAAACCCAAGGAATTAAGAGAAAAAAAAAACAAAAAGGAGTTTTTTTTTTTTTTTTTTCACAGCTTAGTTTGGTTACGGGGTAGGGCGCAGCGCGCAAAGAGATAAGAAGTTACTTCAATTTTCAGGATAAAAGGTCCGTTCATTATGCGGATAAATACGGACGCAAAAATTTGACTTCGCGTAATGAACGCCCCCCCTAAAGGCCCGTTCACACTCTTGCGACCGAGTACGACTGAGAGAGACGAGATCTCTTAAAACTTCTTAAATGTTTTTAGAATGAGGGAACACACTGGCATTGTGGCGCCATCTATGCGGTGACCCTGGAACTGCATTTCACAAGACCGAAGGTTTGGCGGGATTTCCGAGGTCAAATGTGCGTAATACCCATAGAAAGGCTCGTTTATAACATTGACAAAAGTTTTTTGAGCTAAGAAAGAAAGGATAATGCTCGAGAAATAAAAAAAATATGCAGGACCGCCGAGTTTCAACTGCTTCCCAATAGATGGCGGCAGTGTGTTTTCTGGTTTAAGAAGTTTTAAGGAACCCATGTTTAAGAGGTCGCAAGAGTGTGAACGGGCCTTAACTTTGCATCGATTTTTCGGAAAAAAAAGTGCGTTCATTCGGCGAGTAAATACGGTATTTATTTACCGTAAAATACCGCGGAACTGCCCAATTCATTCAAGCGCCCAGGATGAACATTTCCCAAACTTGGGAATTTTGCAAATTATACGTAAAGCGCCCAATTCGACCGGGCAAGCGCCCGTGTCTAGATTGACCCCGTTTTCAGTGAAAGCCGGGTGGGTGCTCACCTTGGTATTTTACAGCAAATTCTAGAACCCCCTCGCCTAGTTTATAATATGGCTGCATGCATGCCAAAGTCGGCAATGCACGCGGCCGCCACACGGAAGATTGGGGTTCAAACCCCGCTCCATCCCGGTTCTTTCTTTTCGAAACGTTCGACCTTCTGGAAAGTTCCGGACCGCTCTCGGCCGTCACCGACCATTCTGGATCACAACATCCTCGAACCTACTGCGTGTATAAATGCAGAGGTAATGCGCCGCTTCAGACAGCCGCCTTTCTGTCGCAGGACATATAGTTCCATTATGACCGGATTGACAACGCAAGTTCACCTCGTTAAACGTTTGATTTTGGTTACACGTTAATCTGCTATCTTTACTCGCGGCAATATCAATAACAGATCTTCCAGTTCGTGTTACCCTCTCCTCTTCCATAACTTCCAAGGCTGGCTACTAACAGTTATCCAGACAGTTTGCAGCTAAGATCATGCCACCATGGAGGTAGGAAGCTTCCCGAGGCGACACGGGTCCATCAGAAAGGAAGCCAGAAGTGTGGAGGGGCATGCCTTCAAGGACGACCAAAACCAAGAGACGCTACTAGACAAAAGGGCGAGTCTACCCTCGGCACCCGACCGAGCAGTTTGCTACTCCATTGGGTGCCGAGGGTGATCAAAAGTGCTGTCGAGACGGCTCTTCTTTTCGTCCAATAGCATGCCTTGGGTTTGGTTGTCATTAGGAATGTGTTCCTTCACACTTCTGGCTCCACCTCTGGTGGCCTCACGTCGCCTCCGCAAGTTTGCTACCTTTGTGGAAGGTTCAGGCGGTCCACAGAGCTCCATCAAAAGGGGTCAAAGAAAGGAAAGAGAAAAGGTTTCTCGGCCGCCCCACCTCGACGATGCGCGTCCGGTGCACGGTGATGAGGGTGGACTGGGAGAGGGCACAGGCAGACTCCGTGAGTCCCAGCACCGTCTTCTCGTTGTTCACATACTTCCTGAACAGAACCACCCTCTAGAAAAAAAAGAGCAGAAAAAACATGAAACCACGCGGTAATTACATGGTCTTTTACTCGTTGTCGGGTCAACAACAAATACGTCGAGTTTCGGTGCCCATTTGTCATTTCTACTTCGTTTCACTTTAAGACCGGTTGTAGCCGACACCACAATCAGACGGAGCCGATCAGGGGGGCCAAGAGTGCATCGTCACGGCGCTCGTCGTCTTTGTGCATTGCCAACGACGACCCAGTACACAGGCCTCGTCTTCTGGGTGGCCCAAGAGACGGGAAAACAGACTGTGAAACACGCACCTCCTTGTGGGGTATGATGTGTGGCACCTTCTGCATGAGCACTTGCGCCGCCTTCTTGCCCTTCTCCAGGTCACCCATGAATGTGCTCACCTTCATGTCCCTGCAGAGGCACGGTCACCTTTTTCAGCTTGTGCAAATCTTTCACAAATAACAAACTTAATTTTTGCAGCTGCGGAACGTGCTACCGGGTTTTTTGCTTCTCGTTCGTGCAGCAGACTCCGTGCTATTGTACGAGAGTGGAGTAGCCAGAGTTGCTATCATGATGAAATGAACATCCTATAGTATATGCAGGGGTTCTCAAACTGGGTTCCGGGGAACACAGGGGTTCCACGAGCTGGTTTCATGGGTTCCGCGAGCACCCAGATTGCAACCCCCCAATGCCGCAGGCTGCGCGGCAGGACCATGCAAAGCGCCTTCATCTCACTTTGTACTGCCATCGCGATTGATATGGTGGGGATATATGGGAAGCAACACAAGCAGAATTGCCTACAATTGTGCATCTGTTGCTTCTTGGTCGGCAAATATGGAGGGGGGAGGGTTCCGCGGCAGTTTCTGAGGCTTCCTGGGGTTCCGTGAGACCAAAAAGTTTGAGAACCCCTGGTATATAGTAAAGAATGAAACCAATTAAAGAAACATGTCCACCCCTTGTCAAGATGTTCTACGGGGATGCTGACATGAAAACAGGAATATTCGCAGCACATTCAAAACTAACGTAATCATTAACAACTGTAAATGATGACGGTTCACTTGTATTTTAAACAATATATTTTCTTTTTCACTGTTCCACTCTGGCAAGAACTGCAGAAGCAGTCACCCAAGTGTGGGACACATCTGGGACATTTGTGATGTGTCCCGCATCCGATGGCATGTGCAGACGTCGTTATGAACTCTGGCAGCCGTATTGCCTCTTTGCTTCTTTGGATGTCTGACACCCGAACCACTTCACAGCCTCCTCACCCTCAGCCAATCCTGCGGACTCTGCCCTCGGTTACGTTAGTAAACCAACGACCCGACAATGCCAGAGGCACCCGGGTTCCTTCCACATCTTATAACATTGCCTAAAACATACAGTAAACCCTTCTATAATGAAGAATCGTATCATAAAGGTACGGATATAAAAGTCAAAGTATGCTCGTGATACTGGCACAGGCATACAAGCTAACGATATAGAGAAGGCCTTTTTTTAAACGACTTTACGATGAAGAGGTTCCACCGTAACAGGTAAAAGCAAGTAAAATAAAGGGTTGCTAAATGTCTCGCTTCAATTCTGCACAGCGTCTTAAACAGTAGTGGGTTTGCCTAGGTATAAAGTATGACACACTAATACAACAACCCCACTTTTCACCGTACAATAAACCTATCTTTACAAACTAACATTTCATGTCAGATCTTCCAGATCTGCACATCAATTCCTTCTGGTGCAAACAAACGAAGAGCAGATTTTTCCACACGTCTAAGAACTAAACATCTCCAGAGTGAAAGAGGGAAAGGGCCTTTGTAAAATACACCGCATCTCAAGACTAAAGAATTTGGAGCAAAACTGCCACTCACTTTATGAGCCAATGGTCGGGAGGAGTGTAGCTTCGGCGACAGTCTCGCTTGTACAGCAGCATGAGCAGCGTGTGTGATGAGCACAACAGCTGGTTCGAGTTGACGGACTTCAGGTCTGCCGCAGGAAGAAGACAACCAACATTAGAGAGGGACTACTCCGCCACAAAAGAGCAGAAGCACTGAGAGTGTGCAAACCAGTACCGTAGTCATCAATAGTGGTCTGTAAGCATTCTTGGGAATAAGCAGGAATGCATTGGAAGTGTTAATGTCAGCCAAGTTTGTTTTTTCTAACGAATGTGGAAGAACTCATAATTTCCAGGGATATGCAAACACTGTACAAAATATTTTTACAATATTGTACAGCATTTTGAAAACCCTCAATTGCTGACAGCCATTAATTAGAGTCATTGACAGTCGTTACTGTCAATTGCTTACAAATGACGGTAAGCCCAAACAATTTGTTTCAGTAGCACATGCGTCATCTTTCAGTGCATGTCGAGACACAGTCTCGGATGGAACGCTACAATACGAGACGGGAATAAGGTATAAGCAATGGCTGTCAGGTCCCTTTTTAAAACAGCAAGATTAAACCTAACGCAGAGGTTCTCAAACCTTTCTAGATCAAGGAATGCACATCATTCTTCATCGATGGCTGAAAGGCACAGTCATGGCATCGATGAAATACAGCACAGCAGAATTCTACATATTAGTCATGTGGGAAGAGTGAATTTTGAGCTCAAAGGAAATAGTGGTGTTGACAGAATATTTTCGAGTCAAATATTATTCAATAGTTTCTCAGAGTCTATGACTAACGTGCATCATGCTTAAACAGAAATTCAGCTGAGCTCGTGAAGGTTGTTCCCAACCTTCCACTTGTCCACTTCTAAGCTCAGTTAAATTTAATACAGCTATGCTGATGAACTGTGACATGTAAACATCAAAATTGTTGCAGCTATCTTAATCGTGGGGATTTATGTTTGCTTGTAGTATGCAAGTATTCTTTCTTCAGTTTCAGATTTGACCAAAAAAATAAAATAAAAGAAGTATGAATGATGAGCGCGGGATGTCAACACATCGCTGCCACATAATCGCGGTGGGTTGAGTGTGCTTCTCACCGAGCACCTGTGCGCTGCGGAGAAGCAAGATTCGCGGAGCTCGGGTGCTCCGCGAGTCTTCCTTCTCTGCAGTGCACAAGTGCTCGGTGAGAAGCACACTCAACAGGGTTAACTCGATGCGATCCACACTTCGAAAAGTATGAATATCGCAGTTCAACTCGAAGCGAGTATCGAATAGCTTATTATTCGAAACTACTATTACAAAATTTGAATATTTACACAACACTATTACATACTTGTGACAGCTTGAAGCTGAGGTACTTGGTTCATTGCTTTTATTGCCGCGTGCATGACCAAGAAGAAACGTTTCTCCATTCTTCTAGAAGATTTGAGTTCACTCGTACCTCCTAGTGTAAAACATAAATAGGCCAGAATGACCTTGCTGAGTCAGTCTCACCCTAGTAAATTCGAACCTTCTGGAAGAATGGAGAAGCATTCTTTCTCGGTCATGTACGCAGCGATATATGGTGCCACCTGAATATGAAGGAACGTTACAAACAGAGAGAGACAGAAAAGGCAAACGCACCACTGGACTGGCAGCTGTTTAATTATTACCATATTTTGCTTTATTTATAGCACATTTTACTTAATCTTCTTTATCTATAATCTATCTCACTTAATTGAGAGATGTCTTCCTCCTCTTCTATTCTTGTAACCAAAGCTCACACTACTGGATCTTGTAATCGAGCCATCTTTTTTCCTCATCTTTCATCTGCCCACCATGGGTGTGGCACCTCACAGGTACACAACTTGCTTGGGGTGTAGCGCAATGGAAGCCGCACTCACACAATTGTCCAACTTTCCGTCAATAGCTCACGCCTCCAGGATTTCTCGAGTGAACTTGTTGCAGCTTGTTGCCATGATGTTTAGGCTATAAAACTCGCGCATGCACTGACTTTGACACATGACAATGGGCTGGTAGGTGCCAAAGAATGATCTTATCTCATCGAGGAGGATTTTTTTTTTCTTTTTTACGCTGCTTGAGAGAAGCTTTGCTTGAAAGATGTTGATTGCAATAAAGAGGCTGAGAGTCTGCGTGCCAAGGAGATTAAAACAAAAAAATGCGTGCTCGGAGAACTAGAAAGTACCTCGCAGCATGCGGACCTGATGCGGACCTGCCATTCAAGACATCCTGGCAAAAACTGCAACTAGTTCGCTCGAGAAAGCCTGAAGGCCCGAGCTATCGACTTTTGACGCAAAGACAAACAGATGGAAGAAACAGAGTATGCCTTCCATCGCACTACACTGCAAGGAAGTTATGTACCTGAGCGGGGGCCGCACCCATGGAGGACAGATGAAAGACGATAAAGAAGATGGCTTGATTACAAGATCCAGTGGCGCGGTCTTTGGTTAGAAGGGTAGAGACGAGGAAGACATCCCTCAATTACGGTGGCGTGAAGGGGAGGCGTCAGAATTGGCGCATGAGAGAGGGAGCAGCCGGTCACCATGCAGTGGTGGCGCTGCTGTCGACACTGAGATCCGTCGTCTGCTCGTGTCTGCTGCGATTCTGGCGCTTCCTTGCTCTGCCAGTAAAGATTGCGTACAATATGCACTCCCTAAAGTACCTTTAAAAGTTAAACTATGTCGATTTTGAACTTGTGGTTCATGTAACACAAGAATAAACCTGCCGACGCTCTTGTTCTCCTCGTCATTGTCGGAACAGCAAAGAGGGAGGCCTTTTTTGTCGCAGAAACATGCCCCGTGGTGCATCAGGAAGCAAAGCAGCGTGTTTGCTGTTTTACCACTGCAGTAGTTTGGACGCATCGCGCAATCTTTCCAACAAAAAAAGCACTTCTAGCAAAGTGAATGCATCTAAGAGTCGCTTCTAGCGTGCTGCCACACACGGAGCAAGCCACGCAATGCTGACACCTCCCCCTTCTAGTCACCATACCTCAATTAAAGGGACACTAACACCCCCACAAAACTTTTTTTTAATTCCTTTGCCAGGCAATTTATTACAGTGTCTGAAGACTACCCCAGTCAATATTTCGCTACAGCATCACATATATTTTTAATGAAGTAAAAATATGCAACTGCTCGAAACTGGAACTGGACTGGGGAAGAAGAAATATAGAGGAGGAGAAAGTTACCGGAAGTCGTGTGGCTGTGCAACTTTCTTTTTTTTTCAATCAACGTATCTGCAACTTTTTAGAAGCCAGGAAAAATTGGTATCATTGCTTTTGTCTATTTTTAGTATTGAGTGTGTGCATTATCGTTGGTGGTTATGTCTAAACCATAGAAAGCGGCACATAACCACAAAAAAGAGAGTGAGCGTGACACAAATTGGCCAGTTCTCGATCGGCGGTTTTCGGGTGGAAAGAAAACAAATTTCCAGCTGCAAATTGTGTTCTGGGTAGTTGGTCTCTCATATGTTATGTACAAATAAAAACCTTGGCCACTATAAATACCCTGTCAGTGTACCTTTAAGTGAAATGAAATATAGATAAAGAAAAAAGATTATCAAATTAAACAGTTGCTAGTCCAGCAGTGTGTTTGCCTTTTCTGTCTCTCTCCGAATGTAACTTTCCTTCATGTTCAGCTGGCACCATATATAAACTACCGTATTTGCACGAATATAACGCGAGTTTTTTTCGAAATTACGTGCTCCAAAACGCACCTCGCGTTATATTCGGAATCGAGTTCAGCCACGAGGCACGCGAGTCTGGAGGAGAAAGCCATCCCTCCGGCTCAATGCAAAATATCCCGTGTGAAAAGAAGTGGGGGTATGGAAGGGAATTTATTCGCTATTGGGCCACGTGAAGGGGCAAATAGAAAACATAAGAAAGCATTTTTATCGCTTTTGTGTTTGTACAACGCACGCACGCCGCAGAAACTAAGCGCGCGCGCACGCCATGCGGGCACTGGCCAATTCGAGCCAAGCCAAGCCGGGCCAAGTTAAGCCAACACAAGCAAAGCAAAGACCACCAACCGCGTTTACCCAGTCGTGCAACACGAGGTATTTGTTTATGCAGAGGGACCAGAACAAGAAGTGTGATCGATACGGTGTATCGGATTTAGCAGTCTTTCTTCTGCCTGCGCATTGTTTAGTTTCTGCTCCAGAGTGATCTGGTGTTTGTGTGTTGGTGCTTCTGCTTCGTGCCTTGTTTCGATTGTGGGCTGCCGAGGAGCTCACACGGAAGAAAAGGGAACTACCAGACAAGCAGGTGCCGTGCTGCTGCTTATCTGCGTAGTTGCCAAGTGGATTGTAAACGGAAGGACCTGAGCCACCTGAGCAGTGAGGATGAGTGCAGTCAAAACAGGAACTGATATTTCTTCTATTTCCATTGACTTTTTACATCTGCTATGCCCCCGAGTGCGAGAAATTGACGCGGCCTCGGTTCGCGTTATACACCAACTCAACTCTCCTACGTCACGCCGCGGTGGTGGCGCGCCGGACGCACTTCCGGTCTGGGGCGGTGGGCAGAAGTCGCCGTGCCAGACATGCATTCCTGTGTTCCTTTGGAAGAAACGAGGCAAAAAACCTGCCTTCTCGTCAAAATGCTGCGATGGGGGCTTTACCAATAGAGTCTGTAAAGGTTTGAAGATCAGTTTTCATGTGTTTTTGCACCCTCCGTTCGTCCGAGAACGTGGATAGTAGCCGTGAAAAGGGGGCTAGACGCTGTCGAACTACGATTGCGTGTGCGGGCCACAATTTGTGGTCGCCAGATGTATTTGCTTTGTTCCAACATGAACGAGAGAAAACCCCCGAGTTGTCCGGACCACCCACGGGTTCAGTGCGTCTCCAAATTCACACGGCTGCCTGATCGTTCAAACTTTCGTCTGCTCTTTCAAAGTTGTCTGCTTTTTGTCGTCTGCTCTTTCAAACTTGGCTGCTTTTTGTCGTCAGCTCGTTCAAAAGACAGCGGCCCGTAAACCAAACGTTGACCCGGTAATTGCGATAAGAACTAAGTGCAGGCCTCAAAACACTTTTGAAGGTTGGTTGGGGTAAGTCGGCTAAGGTGTAAACAGACACAAGAAGATGTTGATCATTGTTACCAGTGGCCATCACCGACTTTTAATGCCCGATTCTACTTGCAGTTTTCAGTATCGATGTCCACCATCTCAGCTACGGTCCACGCTTTTGCAGTCCGAGCGACGTCGCGACTGAAAATAACGAGCAGAATCTCATCGTGGGAGTCAGGCTTTAGCGCCCATTCTGCGGCGTCCGCGTGAAATGAATCGCCGCACGTCACATTATTCACGCAAAGTTTTGCCTTGATAGTTTTGCTGAAGCCGCTCAAGTAGTCAGACATTGTTAGGAGGACGTAGAATCAACAGTTCCAACGCGAAAAAGAACACGGGGACTCCCACCGACGCCGACAACAACGCAATTCAATGGTTTGTTTATGGGCGACGGAGGGCTTCTTGCCCACCATCCACCGCGCATGCGCGGCGCCGGTGGCGTCCGCTAGGGGCGCTCCGGTTTGTTTGTAAACATGAGTTGGTGTATAATAGTAGTAATATATTTTTTTTCTTCTTGAGGGCATCAAAACCTGCCCTCGCGTTATATTCGTGGTCGCGTTATATTCGTGCAAATACGGTACTACATACCTTGCAAATAATAATAAGCATACTAGAGAGTGTCTGCCACATAGAAGTTATGCATCGATACATGGCTCAGATTTTCTAAAGTAGTGCTTAAACTGAAAGAAGACTTCACTTAGGGTCGGAGATGGCAGAAGAAATTCGGGGGACTGGGGAACCTCTGAGGGTACTCTAGGGAACTCTTAGGGATCCTAGGAACCCAGGTTGAGAGCCCATGCAGTAACGCAAAGCTTAAGCAGCACTTCTCTCACCGATAAGGCCGTTCCAGACCAGCCTGAAGACAAAAGTGTTGAGGAACGCTGAGATGGCCACCAGGTCGTCCAGAGAGAAGGGACGCTGCTGTTCGTACAGCTCGAGGTCATCAAGGATGCTGGAAGAACAAGTGTCGCCAAGCATTTTTGATTTAAGAGATTGAAGGCATAGTGTAACAGCACAGATTATAAGATTATTTCCACTTCTGCTGATTTCTATGCAAATTGGCCCTATACCGACAACTATCTGCAATCACTACAAAGTAATGCATGTTGAAGACCCCAATTATCAGTCATGGTGCATGGGCAAGTTGCCCTCCTATGCCAGTGACATATAAGGAGCCATATTTCCAGACAAACATCTTAAAAACAAATTCTGCAAAGCAAAATAGCAGAATAACCTACTATACTACACTCAGCATCAGTTTTTTTGCGCCATGTTGCCAAGGCTAGCGTAGCTTGCACAGTGCTCCAACGCTGCCAGCGCTACTTGCATGAGTGTGTGCGAATGAGGCACAAGACAAAGCCAGGTGCTCTCGCAGCAGTGCGGGGCTGGAGCACTCCGAAAACAATGCTAGCCTTGGCAATGTAAAACAGCATAGTCGATGCCAAATACACTCATCACTCTCCATTGTGCAATGATGCAAAGAACGTTTTCTCTGAATGAACTTTCTGCAATTCAAACATTCAACAATTCAACCATACTTCACCATCTAATGTCAATTATCGAGTTTATTTATTTGTTTATGCAATATGCTCCTCGCAGCTCACCAATGTCAGCTGGAGACACCAGATACGTATGGATCTGGTTACAGTGATTGTGATACAGCCGAACCTCAATATAACGAACTTCAATGTAACGAAATCCTCGATTTAACGAAGTATTTTATTTTTCATAATTTCTTGCCCATAGACCCCATGTATTTTTAGTCTCTATATAACGAAGTCTATTTTGCTGCTATTTAAATATAACGAAGCGCCATTGCCATAGAAGGCAATAAATAAATAGACTCTAAAAAACAACTTGACAAAAAAATTGTGGTAAAAAAAAAAAAAATGCGCAAACGCGAGCGCTTGATAGATTACTTCACGGGGACAGGCCTTCCAACGTTCCTAGGCTGCGGCGCCGGTAGCGCCGGCGAGGCATGCGGCAAAGCGCATTCCGCGGGGCTGGCCAGAAAATGCCGAAACGGCATCACCACTGACATTCACTGATCATCATATCCCACTGCACCGCGGTTAGCGCGGGAGCCAACTTCAGCGGGGGAGCGACGTGATGGCGCGACCGCATGGGCAGTGCCATCTAAAAGAAGACCGAGAAGACCAATTATCGTCTTGCGAGCGTGATGTAAAGCAAAGACGCAAGCACACTGTGGGTGCAAGGGGGCAAGTAAACTGTGCGGGCAAGAGTGCTGTGTAGGTTGGAAACATTGGCACCGCCCAAAACAGCTTTATTTTTCAACCGGGCGGTTCACTCGCGTGCTTGCTGCCATAGGGAAACATAAAGTTCTTTCTTTGGATGAGAAAGCAAACGTTTTGGATGCCATCCTGAAGAGACTGCCGAGATCCCGAGCATTCGGGAAGTGCTCGACGCAATGGACGTACTGAGGAGGTACACGGCGTCGCATGGGCAGCAAGATGCCGTGCAAGCGCTCTGGGCGCTCGAACGCCGTACGACGCCGCTGCTACTGTCGAACAAGGCGCAAGCAAAACTCGCGGACTACTTTGCCCCTAAATAAATATCATTTTCGGTGAGTTTTCAAACCTGTAAAATGTTTCGGAATTTTTTTTTTGCATGCTAAAGCCAAATTTCGATTTAGCGAAATTTCAATGTAACGAAGTAAATTGCGAATTTTACCGACTTTGTTAAATCGAGGTTTAACTGTACATGGAAACCATACAAAGTGACAAAAGGACAATTGGCACACTTAAACTATTATGCATATGTCAACCATGTACAATAAAACATTTCCCATAAAATCCTCATTTCTGTGCGGTGGCCCCAGGAACTACAAGGCTACCCCTACCTTACAACAGCAATAAGGGTCACTCACGTGATGAGGTGGGTGGCACAGTCGCAAAACAGCACCAGAATCATGAACTCCGGGCTGCTGGCCTTGGTCGTGAGTGCCAGCAGGTCTAGGAAGGCCTTGACCCCATGGCCAGGCCCTAGGCTACGCACCAGCTTCCACAGGTGGGCCAGCACAAGGTCTTGGTAGCACAGCCCTGAAAGACGCACATAGACACCACCCAAATTAAGAGTACTAGTACTTCACCAATTCTAAATCCTTGCCGATTTGCTTTAAAATTGACTTAAAACACCAATATACATATTTGCAAGTACGCCCTGAGGGTGCCACCCTCTTCCTCAGATGGGGTGCGCTTGAGCTTGGACATAATCCGATTATGACGCCTTAGCGAGGTTTTGTAATCGGATTATGACACGACGAAGCGCACCCCAATTGCACAAGATGGCGGCGCCCTGAGGCCGGACTTGCAAATATGTATACAAAGCTGAACTAGTAACTCCACTATGGTGTCAACATAACTTTTTTCACGAAGTTACCAAATTTATAGTTTTAGTCGCCACCAACTGTTCAAACTGGAACTCTTTACTGGCAACATTGTAAAAGCGACGCCTGCAGCCGGCATCCACAGGTTCGCTGTTCGGGATGTAAAAAATGTTCCCAACTGATTATAAGAAGATAGATAGCACGAAATGAAGGCTTTTGAGGCTCGCTCCAGAGCTTGCTCGGCAGGACGAAAAATATATTCTACCCTTTGTTCTCTAGACTGCCTGCCAGTGATGTCATGCCACTGAAAAAAGTGGGAAAGTTTAATGCTGGTTTTGGCAACGCCTTCGTTTGCTATTTTCTCAATATTTATTCTGAAATTAAAGGTACAGACAAACCCGGATGCATAAAATTCAAAAGGGATCGTAAAATAGTTTGATATATTGATAATAAGCGAGAGCGGTGTTTGGGGAAAGAGTGCACGCCTTCTGTTGGGCATTCCCTGCCCTTCCTACGTGCGTGCGTGCCCTTCCCCTTGCTTTTGCCATGCTCCACTTTTTTTTTTTTTTGACAAGAGCTTTTTTGTTGCGTACCCCCTTGCGTGTATGCTGGCTTGGCGGTCTGCCAGCTCCGCAGTGCGAGCTATGTGCTTGCGGCCAGCGCAATCCGACTGCGGGACAAGCGACCAGCGGCCATTTTAGTTTACTATATCGAGTGTCCCTGCCGTGTAAGTTCGGTACAGAAAAACAACACTCCTATACTATTACATGTGATTTTCCAGGGGATGTTTGGACTGTTCAATATAAACAATAATTCGAAATACCCGAGTGTGATATAACCAGGCTCGACTGTACCAAGTGGTATGCTGGGAACAGTAGAGCTCAGATATTTAGAGAATACAGTCGGTAGTCTGAGTAGCTAAAACATTGGTGGCGTACCCCCAAAGGTACTGGAGGCCCCCTTTGTGCAGCTAGTTTTAGCTCAGAACAATTTGGACAATGCACTATACTATTCTTCCCAGCTACAAATGCAAGCTTTGACAAACGTTAGCTTTCTATGTTGGCCTCAAGTATCAAGCTTCATTGCACAAGTTTGATCCTTAACCGATTAATTAAGGGGAGACATGGGTCTTTGGTGCCAAAAAATCCTTGAAGGACAATTCCGGTCGAAAACGAAACCGAAATAAATTGCTGGTATCGCTTTAGTGGCACGAAATATGACTACAGCCAAAATATAATGTCAGAGTGAAGCCGTGTACTCCACTAAAACCGATTTTAAAGATGCGACCAGCTGCTCTCTAGTAGGCAAGCGGGTTAGTTTTCAGTCAAGGAACACTGACGCAGCACCCCCGTCACGTCACTCCACGTTGCGGTGGAGCTGCAGTTGAGTGGTTGTACCGCGTACAGCAGCACCACGATGACGGTCGTCGTAACCGTACGGCTGATGATCAGTGTTGCCATCCCTTGAGCAGTTAGTTTCGGTTTTGCCGTAGACGCCTGAAACCAAACTTTGAGCCGTGATATTTATCAAACTACCTACACACAAAATCGCAAAAAAAAAAAAATGATACCTTGTAATTTAGTGACACTGTAGTCATAATCCCAAATAAAAAAAATATTGAAACAATATCCTTTATTAACACTGACAGGGTATTTACGCTCGCCAAGGTTTTTATTTGCACATGACATATGAAATCCCAACTATGTACCCAGAACACAATCTGCGGCTTGAAATTTGTTTTCTTTCTGCCCGAAAACCGCCGATCGAGAACTGGCCGGTTTGAGCTGCGCTCACTCTCTTCTCTGTGGTCACGTGCCGTTTTCTATGGTTTAGACACAACCACCAAGTGTAATTAAAGTCGTGGGTCATCGAAGGCATACACTCAATATTAAAAAAAGAAAAAAAATATGATACCCATTTTTCGTGGCTTCTAAAAAGCTGCAAATATGTTGATTAAAAACCAACTCTCTCTTCCTCTATAGTTTTTCTTCCTCCCCTGTACAGTTTTGGTTTTGGTTTCAAGCAGTTGCGTGTTCTGATTTTATTAAAAATATACGCAACGACACTGCAGCAAAACGTTGATTTTGGTTTCAAGCAGTTGCGTGTTTTGATTTTATTAAAAATATATGTAACGATGCTGCAGCAAAACATTGATTGGGTAGTCTTCTGATACCATAATGGTATCAGAAGGCAAAAAATAAAAAAATATATTTATGGGGGTGTCACTGTCCCTTTAAAGGGTAACTGCAAAGAAAAAAAAGTGTATTTTTAAACAGTCTAATTGGGACAAGCATGTCACAAAACAATTTTTCCAACAAAAACAAATTTTTACAGCAATATTTATTGCGCGAGACTGATTTTAGTTTGCAGCTATTTCGTTCGTTTCAAATTGCGCGCCACAAAGTTGGTATTATACGTCACGGAGTGGCTGCTATACGTCATGAAGTGACGTATTCCAGCCACTCCGCACGCGTCGAAAGAGCGGGAGTTTCAAATGTGGAGAGGTTGCGACCTGGACTAAATTACGTCCTGTGGCGTAAATATTACTAAAAAAATAAAATGTGTTCTTTTGCGGAAGATTTGTTTTGTGACATGCTTGTCCCAATTAGGGTCTTTAAAAAAACACTTTTTTTTTTTTTGCAGTTTCTCTTTAAGCAAAATATTGCTTAATTAAGTATATATTTTGGGAAGTGGTGATTTTGAAGTCTACAGCTATTTTTCTTCTGATCTGCACAGTGTCTTTCTCCGTGAATCAATATTGAAGTCACAATGTCAGTTTATAATACCTATGCGGGTTGAAATCGCACTGAAGGCGATGTGATAATATGGCGCTTTCTCGGAACACAAATTTTTTGCGTTTCGCAAATTTGCAGGCAGATAGCAATATTATTTTTTCGCAATATGTAGCTAAATATGAAAATCATACAATGTTGAGAGCAGATTCTTCAAGGTTGGTCTTGGAAATTTTTCACTTGATCTGTTTTACCACTTGGTAGCTACACATCCCACACCGAACTTCACTGTTTTGTAAAATCACTATTAATTGTTGAATCTCAAAAGTATTTGCAACATTGTACTCTTTATACTTCATAGTATCCAGCCATAGGTTAAAGAAAACTATTTGTCGAGCAGTCCTTTGCTCTTGTTCTAGCAAACAAAGGTGGGCGAATTTGAATTATGTAGCATCTTGCATACAAATCTACCAATCGATCAAATAAGCAGATTTGAAATCAGCATGAAAAACTGAACAAACTTGTGCAGTTTCATTAGGCCATATCAATAGATAAGGAAACAAAGCTCCATGACCAGTGTTTTCCCCTCAACCATAGCTCAACCACCAGCAATATTTATTATGCCCGCAAGAACCAGTGGAAGTATCTCAGTTTAGTCAATGAATGCAGCTTAGAGCACATGTTTCTGCTGCAAACTCCATTCGGTCGAACAGTGATTGCAAGAGGCTGCTTAACCGACACAAAGCCAGCCGTGTTGTTCTTATAGAACGCTCTACACCAGGAATAGATATGATCATCATTTCTTTTTAGAGTAAGAACAAATCCCTAGGTTTTGCCCTTGCTATCACTGTTCCAGAGGCAGGGGTGCTCACCAGTGAGTATGTCCAGCCTGAGCTGGGTGAGGCTGGACAGGGCGGTCTCGAACAAGGCACAGGTCAGGGCCACCGTGGTCGTCTCGGGACCACCCAGCCTCCGGTACTGCACGCTGCAGGTGCGCCCAGAAGATGCCCTCTCCAGGGCCTTCTTGAGCAGGTCTCCACAGGTCACCACAAATTCTCAATTAAATTAAACAAACACACACAAAATATTTCTTATCAAGCTGTTGTTTTAACAAGACGCTGTGCAGAGTATTTACCAATTATGCAGTGAACTGGCCCATCACCAGAAATTCAGAAACATTTCTGAGAAGCATGCCTTCTCATGAAGTCGGAGAGATTGCCAAAAAGTATGGGCACATTGAAGACTGCCTTGATCTTCTGCAGACACCTATGCAAAGCGCAAGTTCGTCTGCTTCTTGCACACAAGTTCCGACGATGTCAGAACGCCGAACTCTTACCGATTGATTGAAAAAGATATTGGGTAGACCTCGAGGCATCTAGCATTGAGGTCTACTCACTATCCCTCCAATCATAGCCCCCCCCAAACAGAACTCTCATTCGCTGTTCTCACATCACCGAAACTTCCGCGCAAGCAGCAGACGACTTGCTCTCCGCATACCCCTGTGGCAAATACCAAGATGCCAATATTTGACAATAGCTTTGAAAATTAACTTCCGGGTTTTTAGGGATCGCAATTAGCCATACAGTACATTTAATGCTGTAGGTCTTAAGAAGCTGCCCCTGATGCTCTACACTAATAGAAGATAGTTTTGTGCTAAGTGCCCTCCTTGTTTAGTGCTCTTGGAACACCTCCAAAGCAATCAACAGCTATGTCTACTGCAACTGTCAATAAAGGCTTCCCATCGATTAAATATCGGACTTGATTATAGGCCGACCAAAGAAAGAATCAAACAAACTCAGGACGACAAACATTTTTGTCGTCCTTTGTACCAAGCCTGTTTTATTCCTTCTGTGGTCAGTCAATTTTACCAACACGCTCTTAAGTTAATGTTGATTATATGATCCATTAAAAGCAAAGAAAGCAATCGCACTTGCCAAACACCATCAACACCTCTGATGAGCAGCTTCACAAAGCTGACTCTTTGCCACCCCTGCCACAAAATGTTAAGCGATCGATCTCCAGCACAACACTCACTGGAAGCACTGCCGGCGGGCGAACTGGGCACCGTCGCATCCGCCTGGGAGCCTGTCGTGTCGGCAGTCGAGAGCACGTCCACCAGGGGGCTGAAGAGCACCTGCACCAGGGGCCCACTCCAAAGGAGCTGCAGCTGCTGCTTAACACTCACCAGGGACTCATGGAGGCTGGAACGGAACACAGATCATACCCGTTTGTTCCTTCTATATGTATGTGCCAGAAGGAACCTGTGATATGGGCTTGGAAAGATTTATTTACTTATTTACCGATTAAAGCATGGAATGCTTTTTAAAGGAACCCCATAAGCCCAGGAGCCATCACGGTATTACATAATACCACCTTAACTTAACCCCGTGATGCCATGTCACAGTGTTAAACTAAACATTTATTTTTTTGATCCAGGGAATGTCATGTTCTCCAACTTTTGCATTCCATCACCACTGCTAGTGTCACATTCTAATGGAGTTTCACCTCTCTGCAACGTGCAGTTTGTCTATGTGGGACGAAGAACACAATTTTCTTTTCTCGCAAACACCCGGCACCATTGTGATTGACGTGCTCGCTCACCCGTGGTCAATGCTCTGGGCAAACCAGCCCAGGATGGGGTGCCAGTGGGTCAGGTTAGAGCGCTTGTTCACCACATACTTCTGACAGCTCTCCAGCAGCTTGGTGGCAACGTGCTGCGGCATCACGCGGAAGAAAGGCGGGATAAGAAAATCAAAGGGTGGTCCACTTGACACTTCTAGGAGGTCCAACAGAACAGAATAGACTCACCACAAAGTCGAGCAACCTTGAACTCAGGTTCTGAAAAAAATAAAAAGAAATTGGAACTTTGCTGTCAACTTTGATTGAACGGAATGAGCATTTTAAAACACATAAATGCCAAACAACGTTTCGAGCTATTTTCTACAAATTAGCACCAGGATATGAACTTTACTACCTCCTAGTGCTTGCATATTTTCCGAACTCACAGTCCTCTCAATGGATTCGAGACAAAGCATCAGCTCTCAAAACTCCAGATGGCAGGTTTGAGTCGCAACCAACATATGCGTAATCGCAGCCAACATATGCGTAATCAAACAGAGGCTTACTGTGGCATGGCCACGTTATATCATAACTGTCAGCTGCACGTCTTAAATGTCCCCAGGTGGTCTACTATAAATAATTCTTTCTTACACTGGGGCCTCTCATTGACCTGGCACGCGAGGCAACCTCCAAGACCTAACAATCTGTTCCATTTTCCAAACCACAAAAAAGAAGGCCGGTACGTCGAAGAGCTCAGCGGGGGCGGTCACCTCAATGTTGAGGTAAGCCAGGTGCACGAGGTTGGCAAGCAGGCAGAGGGCGTAGTTGCCCTCCAGGGCGTTGAAGAGGATGCGCATGTTCTGCTCCACCGTCAGGATGTCCAGGCTCCGGCGGAACACCCCGTGCGAGTTGAACACCGCCACCGACTGGGAGCAAACGGGGCGCCTGCATCACCGTATGTCGTTATCTAACCCAAGTCTACAGCGGCGACCACGCGAAAGACTCGCCAGTACAGTTACAGCAATACATCTGTGCTCGTGAAACACTGCTGTTCAGAGTTTCGAACTGACATTCAGCTTAACAAATCTATAGCACAGCTCAGTACAAAACGGAGTAGAACTTTCTGGTCTATGTAGTAGAGCAGCAATGTCAGTAATGACTGCCTTTTTGCTTTTCGTTTAAAATTATATTCCAGCAACTGTGCGTAAGATGGGCACTTGCTCGCACAAGTCAGACTAGCCGAAACTTTATTTCCTATATTGACAGTGCTTCCATACATTTTTTACTGTGCTGATGCAAATGCCAGTTCAACAAGCCTCTAATGTGCCATAAAATTGCTACAGACATGTAAGAAAATGTTATAGCATGCTATATCACGCAGGATAGCAAAAATTAGTGCCTAACGTCACATCCCGACACATGTCCCAACCCCGCAAGATAAGCCACCTCTAGATCTGGCATGATTTGAGTGCTGCTCATTTGCCAGGCTCCACGAATTCAATGTAACACTTCTGTGAGGCAGACTATGTGGAAAGGCTCATGACATGTCGTTGGCAGTGTCTACCTCTGGGGCAATGTTGAGGAGGTGATGCACCAGGGCAGGCACAGAGAGAATGTGAAGCAGGAACAGGTTCATCAGGTCCTCAGAGAACTGGCCAGATATCATGGGCCTGCGAGTACAGTTGGAGACTATAAAATGCTAAACTTTCCTAAAAAAATGTGCACGTGCCACAGAAATATGTCCCTTTTAAATGTACAACAAATCAAGCAATGACTCGCAGCAGAATGAAAAGATGGGCCAGTTGATAGATTGCAGGAATGCAAAAAGCACGAGAAAACAGGGCAGGAAAGAGTATTGAATAAAAGCGCTAAAAAACGACGGACAAGTTAAAGGACGACAAACACCGCAGAGCGCTCCGTGATGTTTGTCGTCCTTTAACCTGTCAGTCGTCTTTTTAGCGCTTTTGTCCTTTACAATGAATCGCCAACTTGCCCCAGTACATACCCTTCTACAAAAAAAAAGTGCATTGTTTTCTTTCTCATTTTCTTCTACAGCACTTTTAGTGCTATTCAAGGGATGACCATCCATAGAAAATTTTAGAGGATGACATGCCTGTTACCGTATTTACTCGAGTAATAGCCGCACTGTTTATCAAGAAAACCTAAGGGTTCTCCTTTTCGTGGAGCATGCGGCTTGCCAATCCCCGCGATCAGCAGCATGATTCCAGTGGTTTACAGGACAGAGATAATGTCTTCGCGTGAAGGTACCATCTATGAAGATTGCATTTGTACGGTGAATCACGTTCTCGATCCAGTTATTCACTATGTAATTTATGTGCAACGCGATGATTGGCTGTATATATGTGAAAAAGTATACGCAAGGGCCTTGTTCATAAATAGTGCGGCTATTACTCGAGTAAATACGGTATGCCAAGGAAATTATCTTTTTGTGCCATACACAAGTGCACGCCCCAAACAATGTTTTCTTTGCATCAAATTGACCGGTTGCAAATCAACCTCCTCAGTATGAATGCTTGACTGAGATAGTGATGCTAAACCAAATAACGTTGCCTTGGGTACTTGCCGAACAATTTTTGTTCTCAGCTTTGTACGGAAATGAAGTATTAGTGCATTACAGACTGTTCCAAGTTGAGAATATTAGGACAAGCTCTGCCCACAAAGCTCTTCTACACTTTCCACTTTGGCAGTGCAAACATTGGAGAGGAGGAGAGGGAGAGGAGGAAACCACCAATTATAGCAAGCGGAGAGCTTTCTGGGGGGGGAGAGGCTGGTCCTAATCCTTACCTGCAAAAGACTCAAGTCGCAGATCTAGAACAGGATGAAAAGCGAGCACTGGGGGAACAACGGCAAGGACTGAGGAAGCGGCTCACCTGAGCGCCAGGTTAGTGGCAGCCATGAGCGGAGCCCTCTTGAGGGCAGGCCTTGCCCTGGCCAGGCCCCTGAGCAGCAGGGCCTGCAGGGCCCCGTAGAGACCTCCCTTGCCCACCAGGTGACTGGCCACATTGGCACACAGCTGCATCAGCACTGGCCGCAGAGGCTCACCTGCCGGGGCAATACAGAGATGGACCCCTCAGCCGCTCATTAAAAGACACCAACACCTCCCTTCCAAATTATTAAAAAAAAAAAACCTTTTTGGCGATTTAATATGAAGTTTATGAGGACAAGCCAATCAATCTTTTGCTGCAAGTCGCATATACTTTTAATAAAGCCAAAAAACTCAGCAGCTTGAAACTGAAACACGAGCACGGAGGCTTATGGCCGGAAGTCATGTGGCTACACCCGACCGCATTTCTTTTCTTTCTCCGCTTCTCTGGCACGTGAAGCAGACGATGACAAAGTTGCGTACACCGTTTGTCATGCAATTGTTTCGCACTTTATATCCCTTCCGCTGTATGATCTGCGCTTTAAGATTGATCGGTCCCACGTTTGTCGTAATGTTGGTACGTCATGCGCCACCAATGCGTCGTCCAGCCCGTGGTATGTTGCCATATTGAGAATGGCTTCTGTACTTCCTGCAATCTGTGGCACATTTTTTTTTTTTTTCGTTCGACATTTTTGCAATTTTTTGAAGGCCATACAAGTAGGGTTCATATTCTTTTTTATTTGTTCAATTCACTGTGTGCCTTAGATGACCCACGATTTTGAATATATCTGGTACATATACCGTATTTTCCGATTTTTAAGCCATGGTTTTTCCAAACATTTTTCTTGGTGCATCTTATACAATGATGCGACCTATATGCATATGTTTTTCTCAATTCACGGTGAAACCCCGTTTTTTCATGTGCCGCGCGCCATATTTTCTAGAGCACCGTAACTATGTAGCCATAGGTGGTGTTGCTCCTCCCAGGAGGCACTGCTGTTGCCACACCCTTCTACACTTTTCACAACTTATACTCAAAAAACGAGAAATTTTACAGCCTCCCTAATGCGGCTCAATGTGAATAGGCAAGACCGCAAGGATAAAGCTTTTACAGCATGTGATCGATGTTGCCTAAATCAGCCATGGTTCTATACTCTTTTGCCTCAGTCCAGTAACACTGAAAGGTAAGCAGGCTGGTATACACGCATTACAGAAAATTTTCTCGTGTCTTTCTTAGTTTTCGTTTAATGAGCAGTTTTTATCAGCCATGCTCCAGCCGTGTTGCTACATGTAAAAGGAAGGAATGCGGCTAGTTTATCCTTTCGCGGTACAGAAAGAATAGAAGCCTGTAAAAATTGATCTATTTGCGTGCGCATCAATGTGCGCGTCGTCTCCGCGAGTTGGCCAGGGCTAGGCCTAATGGTCTAAAGCTTGATTCACGAGTCTCTAGCACGTTAAACTTGGTGGTTGTGTCTAAACCATTTTTAGTAATACATTACGCTGGAATAGCCACATGGACTATATAAGTGCAAGGGCATATCAAAAACTAGAATTTTTTAGAAGGCAACAGAGACATGCAAATAAAGATGTCAGATTAACATCTGTTACTGCAATGAGAGCTGAGGTGCAGCTAAATAGCCTGGAGAACAGAAAAATTTGTTAATTAAAAGAATTATTGAAAATGGTAAACGGATTTTGAAAAATATTTGTTGCGTTTGACAGCCCGTTCCCAAAGAATGAGTAACACCAAAGCAATTGCACCATATCAATACAAGAGTGATGTGTTCAAATATTCATTTTTATTGCAGAACAATTACTGATTGGAACGCTCTGCCAGAAGAACTTGTCAGTTGTTGCAGCCCTGAGCTGTTTGGAGTCCAATTAACTGATCTTTTAAGAAATTAAGTACTGCATGTAAAAGGTATGTGCAGGCATTTCGAATTGCCTGTGCATACTTTACCCGCACAGAGTGTGAGTGTGTATTTATTATCTGTCTATATGTTGCCTCTCCTGCATAGACCGAAAGATCCGCAGTGTTGTAAATGAAATAAAATAAAACGGCATGTGACCACGGAGAAAACAGTAAGTGCGACTCAAACTGGCCAGTTTTCTATAGGCGGTTTTCGGGCGGAAAGAAAACGAATTTCGAGCCGCAAATTGTGTCCTGGGTAGTTAGGCTCTCATGTGTCATGTACAAAATAAAACCTTGACAAGCATAAATACCCTGTCAGTGTACTTTTAAGGCAGAATGCCAGATGCCCCTGCATGAGTCCAGAGCCCAGAGACTCAGCATTTTAATGCGAAAGCATTAACTGTCTTATGGAGCGAGCCGACGTCATCAGCTTTGAAACAATGCAAAACGGCACCTTAAGGAAACCATGCGCAAAGCTAGCCAACGCCACCTTTAACACTTCAATCCCATTGGCCGGCGCACGTCGACGAGGCTCCCATTGGCCGCTGCACGTCAGTTTGTGTCGTGTCATCCTAAGTGCGGTATCACACTGCTGTGTTATCACTAGGCCGTATACTTTCTGGTTCGAACCGAAAAACATTGATAAACATCCGCCGGTGTCGAAAATAAAAAATCTGTTAAAAGCGAAAAAGACCGGTTTTTGAACATTTTTGTACAAGCAGCAGTGTTTTTTTATGTTTTTTTTTTTCTTTGAGCAAGGCTTATGTAGACGTTCATCTGACGCAATCTTTTTTTCTTTTTACCGTCGTTTTGGGATGATTGTCAGCAGAGATCTCCATAGGTCCCTTATGGTGAATTCCACTCGTAGATCCGGAGCACTTTCCGAAATCCGCAAGGGAGGCAAAATTCCACTCTGTGGGACCCACTCCGAATCGACAAGGGGAAGATAAACTCACATTTTACAAGCGACCTCCCCCACACCCCTCCTTCCGCTTCCCACTCGGCCGTTCAAAATGGCCGCTGCTTGAACTTGACAAGCCCAGCAATGCCTCAGCCGACTGATCTTTCCGACAACCAGTGACAAGTGTCACTGCTTAGCTGCAGAAACAACAAGCGACACAGGCCGGGCAAAATTATATGTACCACAGCGCCCATGTCACAAAACATGAGGAAGACATCCGTGTTTGGCACAGTCGCATATTTTTCAGCCGCCTGAAGGCGACGGGGCACGCACAGCGATTGCCATCGTGGAGTTCAGATTTCTGGTACGATTTTAATAAACACAGAGGTAATAAACCATCACTTGCACGGTCGTTGACAATCTGTTCTTGCTTTATTGAACGGAAAAATGCTGGTGTAATGCAGTGTAAAAAGGTAAACTATCATTGGCTGCAGAATGAACAGGCCAGACCTTGCGTGTGCCTCTGGATTTTCTGCCGCACTTTTTCTCGTGCTTCCTATCACGATCACAGATGTCAGCGCTTACGATTTCAGTCCCGGCTTTGTATCCCTGATCTACGCGAGGTAGAAGCGTTCGAGCCGTCACAATCTTGCATAAACAACCGACGCATCCGAACAGATCTAACTCGACGGCCCGACCGTGGCCCGACCGGCACGGCAACCTCGCCAACCTCGCTGTGCATGTGCACTGTCGATTTAGAAGAAAATGACGTAAAGTGCTCCGTTACCTCTGTCCACTTCTGGAAAGATTTGTGAAATCTCGCGGCACAAGTTTGGCGGGGTTGGAGGCACTCCAAATGGAGCACTTTTGGAGCGCTCGAGCTCTGTGAGCGGAATTCAGCATTAGTAATCCAGGTGTGTTTTTTTTTATCAGCGCTGGTTTCTTTGACCTTTAGTTTATGTCCCCAAAAGTTTGGCCTCATTGTGCCCTTTTGCAGATAGCCCAGTTTTGAAGATTGCCCCATTTATAGATTGCCCAAAAATTTGGCCTCCTTCTTTGTAAACCCTAGTTGGGTGGTTTGAAGGGTCTTTTATACTTTTTAGTTCGAAGCGCATCTCAACTTAGGCTGAAACGAAGTATATATCACAATAATGAAATACGAGGAACATTTTGTATCAGATGTAAATAAAAGTTGAACCGTTTCTTCTCTTGATTATTCGTTTCGATTCACGATTTTTCCATTGATAAACGCCGTTTTAAGCGTCTGCACGAGGCAATTCCCCAAAATAGACCGGTATTTTGGAAAGAAATAAACACAGAAAAACATCCGCCGATTTTTGAAATAAATAAACACCGGAAACTAAACGGCCTAGTTATCACTGATCCCCTTGTTCGCTCGCCTCTTATTGGTTGTACGGCGCGTGACAATATATACGGCGGATAGAATAAACCAAGGGGTTTGTTCTGCTGGAAACTACGCTGCTGACTGTTCCTTCCTTGCGCCGCAAGGCACACGACAGTTTGAACGATTGCCCACCCAATGGCGCTGCGTGTTTGCGAGGCAGCGGCTCTACCGTTCCACGCCCAAGGTCAGCACGTTGTACGCCGCAGATTAAAGAACAGAGCGAAGAGTGGCGTGCGTGCGTCCACATTCACAACTCATAAGAAGTGCTTAGGTGTACCTCGAGACACTTTTGCCCAAGTAGTGGCAGTGAAATGGTGCATAGGGAGCAATAAGATGAGAGCATATTGAGACCTTACTGCTGTGGGGTTCTAAACTGGCAACCCTGATCCCAGGCTGCTAGAATCGTCCTATCACGCAGCAGTTACAACTGGCCACTGCACCAGGTTCACTCACTTCCCGCAACCTGTGGGAAACAAAGCCGACGGGGAGGGACAAAACAAGAGGACGATTGTGGGGTTCAAGATATGAGAGAACGCAACGAAAGTGCAATTTCCTGCGAAGGCCAGGAGACTGTGGGGAGGTGCACAGACTCGTGTTTTTCAACCAGATAACATGTGTGCAATGCAGTGCACAGCCTTATTCTAAACCGACATTTGTTTTACGAGGCAGTTAACATGCGCCTTCGAATGACATGCTTTCCTAAAAATATTAGTTTGTCCATTGAAAAAAAAACTGTTGATGAAGTTCTATTTCTGCCTTAAAGCCACTTGGGACTGAGAAAGCCATAAATGGTACGGTTGTTTTCCTTCAAAATGTGAGGGAAAACATCCATACCTTCATGAGCAATTGTTTCTTGTTGAAACCTCGCATGATGTGCTCACTGATTAGTATGCATAGTAGGTAATCATCTCTTGCTCTAGCCATCGTCTTGCCAATGACAAATTCCTGCAGCGATTGAGCCCGCATTTTCTCTGGTAGCCACTCACAGGACTTGTCCTTAAGCACCCTCCAAGAGGACGTGCTTGTGAAGGTGACCAGGACATGAAGGTGCAGCATCAGAGGCTTGGCATCCTGGGGTGACTCGGGCTGAAACAAGGCATCCACATCACATCACCAAGTTTATTGTTAATCTGGCATTGCATATACAGCTATTTCTCGTTATAACGAAGTCAACAGGACGGCAAAATTTTGTTTATACAGAAGCGGTAATTCAATAAAAGCGATAGAGCCAAAAAAACTGCCAGCAGCCTTGAAGGTGGACGGGAACACTGCAGAACATTTGGACCGTATATTTAATCGAACAAACCTTGGTTATGAACAACTCATAGAAGCTTTACAGAGTAAGGAAATAATTGAGTGTAGTTTGCCGATCATGGTGGACGGTGTCAAACAGCCGATGCGGGAATGCCGAATTCTTTGGAGATTTTGGACTTAGGCCGGCCACTTTTTTTAACCTTGCAGATGTAAGCGACTTTCGATAAACGCTCCCACTCTCCCATACGACGCACATATGTGTGTAGTACGCCGCAAGCACGCCTGCACAGACGTGAGTGTTGGGGGCTCCCGACGGGATAATATCTGAGATCCATCGCTCCCTTGAGCCGATTCCGACAGCAGTCGGGCACTGCTGGCCGTGGGCACTGTGAATAGCATTGGAACGTGGATGCTGCTCCCTGCCCGCATTAGCATTGGCGCTCTGCGCTTCGTTTTCTTGTTTGCCGTTTGCCTCAGTGGAGAAGGGAGAAGGAACGCGAGGGCCTCCGTGCGCCTCCGTGTAGGCTCGCATGCTTTTGGCACCTCGACCTTCATAATAAGCTTGGTTGACCACTGATACACTTCGAATAACCCAGTTCAAAATGCGTGCATTCCGGTCAGGACCACAATAATTTTCGATAAAAGTGATAATTCGAATTAAGCGATTTCGTTATAACGATGGATTACTGTACATTTCTTGATGGATTACTGTATGTTTCTTATGATCCAGAAATTCACTAGCAGCCTTATGACACCGTAAAGAGGAGAAACTGTTCTCAAAAATACACATCTGCAATTTTTCAGACCTCTATACCCCAACTATCCTCCTAAAACTAAGCAATGCTTCCCAAAAAAATCTAAAAATCTATGTCAAGTATTGTGGTTTTTCATGCAGACAGCAGGTTTTGGATTTAACCCACTATGTGCTTTAAAGCGTGCCAAATTTGAGGTGTCCCTCACCTTCAGGTCCTTGAGGTAGATGCAGCAGTTCCAGAGGATGTTCTTGAGCTGCTGGATCCACAGCACCGCATACTCCTTATTCAGGGCCACAGACACATAACTTTCCTGCAGGACATTGTACGGTGGAGAGAATAAAGGCTCCACTCAAAATTGTGCAAAAACAAATTAAGCGCATCTTAATCCCATCAGATAACGACCTAGGTACATGCTTTGTGTGTGTCTGATGTCACATAACTTAGTAATGTCGCATGACCTCGTGAAGTCACTGTCATGCAATATCACGTCATGCAATATCACGTCATGCAATATCATGACAACCAAACTTGAAGGCACGGTGTCAGATGATGTCATAACATGTGACGTCGTAATGTATCTGACATCATGCCCACGAAGTGCACTTCTTTTAATGCAGAACTACTTTCCCATGGAAGCAAACTCCGATTTTGCAGCGTTAGGAGTGTCCCATGCCACACTGGGAGTTGGCCAGCTGCCAAGAGCATTGGGGACAACAAAAACCAACGAAAAAGACAGGAGAGAGGAAACGGAGGCACTAGAGACGCTTCAAAAAGGAGTTAAATTATATTCAAAACTGGATTAAATTATAAGAAAACAAAAACATCTGGCTATAGAATGTATACAAAAAGAATGTGAGTCAGAGTCAATTGTGAGAACGGAATCAAAACTAACTCCATTTAACTGCATCTTCACTACGAGAATGACATATAAAGCCAAAAAAGTCAAATTTGGGGGGTTTACGGGCCAAACCTACGACGGGCATCTTGCACGCCCCAGCGGACGACTGAGGATTAATTTCGACCACCTGGGGATCTTTTGACGTGCAACCGAAAGCTCGGTTACACGGCGCCTTCTCCGCAATAAGCCTCCGTCGTATTGCGGGCACCTCGGTCGGGATTCGAACCCGCCACCTGGGGATCCGTAGGCCAGCACTCTCGCCTCGGAGCCACCGAGGCGGCTGACGTATAAAGCCAATCAGAATGTACACAAGGGAACTTCAAATCTTTAGTCATAAATTTGTTTTGTTTTGCTTCTAGACACAAATGTCACTGCATATGTGTCACAACAGCATGGAGAAGCAGAAAAACAATTGTATATTGAATGTTCATTCATTTTCTCAACAGCTTCAAGAACAATGCTTTAAACTAATCTGTAGTGAAAAAGTAAAGCCTTACAGTCGTCTAAAACAAATCTTAACCCTTAGCCAAATATGTACAATCCCCGTTGAAAATCAATGTCCGTATCTAGTAAATAATGAAAAAGTGAATCTGTGACATCTTTCTTGTTTCGTTGCACATACCTGTATGGAGTCGGCGTCCATGCTAGCAATGATGCAGCGGCATAATCGCTCAAATCTCTGCAAAGACAGATGGCATGGTCAGGCTTCAAAACAGCTGCAGCTGCTGCACACCATGGTTCTAAATCCATGTGAGTCTCTTCAGAAAAACAGCAACAAAGACTGGTTTAATAAGTACTCGGTTTTGCTGCTCATTGAGGCAAACTATTGGCAAGCCTCCACCTATTTACAAGCAGGTTCTTCAACAAACCCTAGTTTCAAAAAGACCAAAGTATGTATTGTGGCACTTTCTTTCAGTGACAACAAAAAAAAAAAAACTAATTATTATTGTCCAGACTGAACGTGTGACTGCTCATTAAAATAGCCTATTTATCGTGTATTGAAAGCTGGACGACCATGATATTTTGTCTACAATATATTTCACAGCACTTTTGTTCTCAGTGTGAAGTTGAAAGTTTTGATGGAAATCAAGAACATGCTAGTCAAATGACTATGAGGACCCAATGTAAGAAATCACTGCTCGAACACAAACTGTCCTAAGAGGCTGCCGTTCCTCGAGATGCTCCACGAAAAGGCACTTACCTCTTTGTCGATCTCCGGATGGAATATGAAGAGGAATGTACGGGCAGCGCAGAATACCTCCAGCGCTAAGAAAAAATAGAAAGGAACAAGCCTAAGTAAGACAAATGTACTATCAAGATCACACTTAGATGGACCAAGGGGACCAAAAACTGGAGTTTACACTGCAATCAATGAGCAATGAAAGAGATGTCCCGCACACATCCACAGGACATTCATGGAATACTCAGGACATCCAATCACGCCTGCAGAGTCATATGTGCTGGCAGGAAAGCTAGTGACTAAGTGGAAAAGTATGATTTTTATACTCGAGATAATACTAGATACATACAACTTGGATCGGTACTCCTGGCATCATTCAGACACAAAGAAAAAATACATTACCCGACTGTGACGTGAGCTTGACATCCTCAACATCTCCACTTCCAAGGACGGAATCAAACCGCCTCCTGAACTCGTTGCGAAGACGTTGCCGCGCAAGGAAGCCCCTCACAGAAGCCTGCACCACAAGACAAAAGAGCCTCACTTCAACAGCGAAGATGAATGTGACAAATGCGACAGACGGCCGCCACAACTTGAACCCTGAAAGAAAAGATTGGACGAGAAAGCTGGAGCAGTCAACCGTCTCTCTAAACCGTTGCTAGTTTCCTTCCAGACTAAACCTCTAGATCAGGGGTCAGCAACCTTTTGCAGCGGCGGGCCAAGTCGTCATGAAGCCAACACGGTGAGGTCCGGACGGGAAGCCGCGAAGACTGGAGAGGAGGAGGGGGGAGGGGTCAAATAAGAAAAAAGAAAAAGGCAAAAAGGAAGTGAAGAGGTTTTCTGGCCAAGTATGGGGATGCCAGACAATGCCAAGTGTTTCTGTATAAAACCATTTGTGGTCCTAACTTCCGAGGGGTTCTTGGGTCTGTTAAGAAGCTGCAAAGGGGAGGGGGGGGGGGGGGGGGGTCTTTTCTGGGGTTGTGCTGGGGGCCGCATGAAACTGCCCCGTGGGCTGCATGCGGTTCGCTGGTCGTGGGTTGCCGCCCCCTGCTCTAGTTTGTCCTCTCCATGCCACTGCAGTTGAATGCCAGCACAAGAAACATTGTGTTGCATAATAGCCTACTCAAAAAGGGGGCAAATAAATAACTTGGCCAGAGGCGAACTTAGCATTTTGTTGTCCTAGGCAACCTTTAACACTGACGTACCCCAAGGACGAAGTTAGGGATTGAGGGCAATGCCCCCCCCCCCCCTTCCTAAGCCCTCCAAGGTCAACCCTTTTTTTTTTATAAAGGTTTATATACGCTAGCCAAAAAGTCAATTTTTGGTGACATAGCCAATACTGGGTCAACGAAAAAAATTCCGAGGGCACCTAAGCACTTCTTATGAGTTGTGAATGCAAAAACATTCGAGAGGAGCAGAAACGGCCACAGCGCCGGCAGGGAGTATGGCGGTGCACTGCGTAGACCGCCCTAGCATGCTGGTGACTGCTGCACCGCTGAGTGAAACAGCGGCGAGAGTGCAAAGCTCGGCGCGGTGCCGGGAGTGTGTGATGATGCATCAGCGTTGCTGCGCTTTTCTCCGCAATTTACTTCTGAGGCGCGATCGCTTTGACTTCAAGTGGCCTCGCCAGCTTCCGTGACGAAGCATCCGATATGACGCGCAGCAGACAATGGGACTATAGGTGGCGCTTCGCTCAGCCAATGGAAAAATGGGACTTTAGGCCTCGTTTTTCGCGGTTACAGATGCCTCCAGCTTTGTTACATGAATAGTAAATGCTTTCTCATTAAAATAGATCTGTGCAATGTCTCGGCCGTAACATAAAACCTCAGCAAACTCCTCCTCCCCCCCCCCCCCCCCCCCCCCCCCCCCCCTCTGCCAGCCGAACGCCTACCACCCAAGCTTGACCCATAAATCCGCCCCTCCCCTCCCCCACAATGGTCAGTGGGGGGGAAGTAGTTAAGTTTAGAGTTAAAATTTTCAAAAGTAGCTAGATTTGGAGCAACTCCCAAAAGACCTAAATTCAAAACTATATTAAAAAAATAAGAGCCAAATAATTTGGCTTTTTTTGCAAAATTCTGCTGCCCTAGGCAGCTGCCTACTCTGCCTATTGGTAAGTTTTCCCCTAGACTTGGCCCAATGTTGCATGAAGCACCTCATTGCTTGTACACGATTACAACAGTTGGAGACACGGGACAAACAGGATGGATAGGCAAATATGAAATATTTGCCTATCCATGGCAAGTGAGCCGGAACGCTAGTGTGAACAAAGTCTCCTTCCCCTGACCTGTATGGATGTGGCAGCCTGATCCCTCCTGCGTTCGTAGGCCCTCTCGATGCGCGCCGCCTTTGCCTGCTCCAGAAACTGCTCCTTGGAGGTAGCCTTGGTTTGTGCGTTGAACATGTTACTGCATTTAAACGACAACACGCCCTCGGGTCATTCAACCAAGGGCCTCACTCCGCAGAAAGAGGGCAAAGCTTGAGCCGAGCTTAGAACAAGAGCGAATGAGGAAGGATGTTTTGGATGAGAACACAAGAAGGCTCGTGAAGATTGCTGCAGACGTTCATGAAAAATTAAATGAATGTTCTAGAGACGCTTGGCTGCACCTCACGCAATAAATGGACCGTCCAAAAACAGCGATGCTATAAACACTTCACACCTTTAGAACTACGGGAAGCCAACTGAACATAATTACTAAGGGCCCCTTACTAAGGTCCCCAGTACTTTGTGCATGGGGAGGTCCTCGAACTGCCCTGCTTCCGGCATGAGCTTACTACTAGAGCTTTGAAATTGCATAATTACCCTACCAATAGACTGGTTTGACCAGCCAGTTTGACTACGCCGCCAATTTACTATAGTTCGCTGCAGCTCAAGAAGTTAGGGCCTGGGTGAGACGGGCGGGGGAGGAGGAAACAGACGGAACGCCGAAGAAAAGAGGGGGGAACCTCCTTTCTTTAGCGTTCTGTCTGCTTCATCCTTCCTTGCCGGTCTTACCCTCGCCCTACCTTCTTGAGTTGCAACAGACTATAGCCGATTATTCTGTAAAAATTTGATCTTTCTGGGAAGTTGTCTAAAGTCACATGTGTTCTAAGCCATTTCTGTGCCATGTGAAAATGTGTTCGGCACAACAGGCCTCATAAACAAAGGAACCCGCTGCATCTGGCAAACCCGAGTTAAATGCCTTGTTTACGCAGAGGGCAGAATTACTGCCCCGATTATTTGTACTGCTATTTCTTAGAATAATGAGGAACAATCACTGTAAACTCATTTTGAATTTATGTTACTTTTTTTTTTGCCATTTCTTTTATTTCTTTAATAAAACTAGACAACAATACAAGGCAGAAAGACATACAAAAATACTGACAACCTGCACTTAAAGAATATAAATAAACTTGCCTAAAAGCTTTAAGGTACTTGCTGCTTAGCTTCCTGCCGGAGCATAGTCCTTCCTACTGGCATTCTGATTCATATCTCACACTTCTCAATTGCTTACAAAAGTACCTATACTAGGTGGCAACTTCATGTCAGTAAAAAGGTGTATACATTTCTTTTTCTCCTCTACATCAGCTATCAACCTATGAAATTCGACAGTATGCCAAATACACCAATTAATGAATTGATTAAAGAATAGAGTTCCTACATTACTAAGGTCAATCTCAGCAATTGTTATCCCAAAATGTATAGTGATATGTATAATTTTTTTGCTATGCTAAAAATTCTATCTATGTGCACGTCATACTGATCAATTAGCCAAATTAAAGAATGAACAAACATAATTGGGTAAAAGCTTAACCCTTTGACAGTCGTCGCTATACATGTACTGTGGGGATTGCGATCCCTCAACATTCTGTCGTGTCAGCGTTTTGGCACGCCGTGGCGGCCGCGCCAACGTAGCGAGAGGTGGCGCTGCTTACCACTGTGAGTGGCTTCCTCCTCTCCCCCATTGGGGCGATTTCCATAACGAACCCCCGCACAAAGGAGATCGACGTGACGCTCCTTGATTGGCCGCTTCGCCCCCGCCATTATCTTAAAACCAGCGGACGGCAGTATCGCTGGGCTCTTCTTCCTGAGATTCTGCGGCGGTGACAACGAGGAACCGTCCGGTGCACCGGTGAGCGTTTACCCCGTCCTTTGTATCTTTGTGAACGACCGTTCGACCGTAGGCGATCTCCACACCGACGGCGTTCACCAGCTTTAGCAGCTGTGTTCTCACTATTTGTTTCTTTGTAAATAAACAGAGTTTATCACCGTTACCAACGTGACTGGTGTCTGTTTGCGCTCAACGAGCAGCATGCCACGCGAGTACGAACCCGCTTCGTGGTAGAGCGTCTCGCCGCGAACGTGGTACTCCCAAAGGCAGTGGCCCCCAGGAGAACCACAATTTGGCGCCCAACAAAAGGGCTGACGACCAGAATTCCGGTACGTCTCGTGTGTGGCGACTGCTGCCGAGTGACGAGTCCTCGCGCAACCAGCGCTTACCGTGACAATGCCGACCGACCTCTCGGATTTGCTCACGCTGGCGACCGCGGCCGACGCATTCGCGCGGCCTCCACTTCAACGGGAAGCCGAAATGCCAACCTTCCAACGAGAAGCGCCCTACGGCGCACCCCCAGAGCCAAGCGTGGTTCCGACGCCATTGCGGACGGGCGCCATTGCTCCCGGATCTTCCCTGAATGCACGTGCTCCGCCGCCGGCACAAAGCGAAGCCTACCGGTCTCCCCACGGAGAAACCGCTGCGGCGCCTCATCACACCTTGCTCGAAAACGCAGCACGTGTGATTGAGAGTCTGATAGGTGCGTTGCGAACGACAACACTGGAACCACAGGCCCAACGACCTCCGGTCCGAATTCCCGTCCCGACTTATCGGGGTTACGCAGACAAAGCGAGCGCTACGGACTTCCTTGACGATTTACGGAAGTACCAACGCGCGATGGGAATGTCCGATCGTGAAATACTTGAGCGCATTCTGCCAATCGCGCTCGTCGACGAAGCCGCCCGCTGCTTCCGACTTGTCGGTGACCAACCCGGAACGCTCGATCAGTTCCGAGAGGCGTTCCACCGCGAATTTCTTCCCGCCGACTACGAGAGAAGGATGCGGCGGGAGCTCGAACAGCGAACAGCTCGAACAGCGAGTTCGTACGAGCCATGCAAGAGCTCTTCGAGCTCGCAGAACCCTCAGCTCCCAATGCAGAGCGAGTGGAACGCGTCATACGCCAAAGCCACCCGACTTTCGCTGCGTATCTTTGAGGCAGCTGTTTCCGCGAACTGAACGAGCTCGCCTCCGAGGCCCGGCGCCTTCAGGGAGACATTCTCGCTGCCCGTGCGTACCGGCCTCCGCCCCCAGCGTCAGCGGCCCTGTGCTCGGGATGGCGTGTCCCCGCTCCACGCTGCGCGTAGAGCAGGGACACGCCATCCCGAGCACCGAGGCGCTACGTTTCCGCAAACTATGCGTAAGATCAGGGCCGAGACACGTACGCAATCTCAGATCGTGCGCTCGACCCGTACTCCTACAGTAGACGAACAAGCCGGCTGACGCCGCAGTTCAGAAAAACCGACTCGCGCCCCAACGACGCAGCGAGGCAGGAGGAAACGAGGATCCCTCAATCTCAGTGAGCCGATGCACGCTACGACATAGACGGCGAAAACCAAAACGCATGGCGGAAACCCCAGCGAGGCGACGACAGAAGATGTTTCCGGTGCAATCGCCCCGGTCATCTCGTTCGCCAGTGCCCGGAGCGGCCGAACGCGGAATCGCACCGCGCGGGAAACGAGTGAAGCCAACGGTAAACGGCCCTTAGACGGACGGACCGGTGGCTAACAAAGAATCAGAGGGTCCCATGGCCACTCTTTTACCGACCGCCTACAGAATAGGCTTTTTGACCGGCACACCGGCCCCGTTCATTTCTGTAACGATCGCCGGCAAGCCATTCAAGGCACTCCTCGACACCGGAGCAAGCGCTTCGATGTTCGGAGACGAAGTGTTGACTCACCTCCGACAGAATTCTGTCCGACTCCGAGAATGCAACACTGCCTTTCACCTAGCCTGCGGAGCCGCCCTTTCAGCTGGTACCGCACGGCTGGTCGCGAGATGGGAGAATCGAGTAAGACGACTACGCTTCGTTCATCTCCCTGGCCTATCGGTGCCCATTATTTTGGGCAGAGACTTCCTTGCCAAAACAGGCATTGCAATCGACGTCAGCAGCGCAGGCTATCGGGAGGGCACTTTTACACCCCTGAAACCTTTCTGCGAACCCCCGGCCGTACCGCCAACGCCACCATTGGGGCACGCGACGAGCAGTCGAGAGGAAGCGAGGGACTCCCTAAACCGGGTCATTGACCCCAAGACACTGAGTCCAGCTCCGATGGCAGCGAGCGCCGCCCCCATTGGGGAAATGACGCACCCACTGCTCACGCAATCATGCAGCGTGTCAGGGCGAGAAAAAGCCCGACTGTCGTTGTTGCTGCGCCGCTATGACGCAATGTTCACGGACCGACCGGGCTGCACAAATGAAGTGCGACATCGCATTGAGACGGGTGACGAACCGCCAAGAAGGCAGAACGCGCGACCCGTAAGCTTGGCTAAACGAAAAGCCATCGACTGTGCCCTGGACGAAATGATTGACACAGGAGTTGTCCGGCGATCTAACAGCCCCTGGGAATTCCCCGTGGTGCTGGTCCCGAAGAAGGACGGCAGCTCACGTCTTTGCGTGGACTACCGCCGTCTGAACGACGTCACACGAAAGGACGCTTACCCGCTACCGAGCATCGACTCGATTCTGTCCAACTTGGGCAGCGCGCTGTACTTCACCACCCTGGACGCTAGCCGAGGCTACCTCCAGGTTCGGATGGAGCCAGGTGACGAGGCAAAAACAGCCTTCTGTTGTCACTGCGGGCTTTTTGAATTCACACGAATGCCCTTCGGTCTGTGCGGAGCGCCAATGATGTTCCAGCGATTGATCGACGGAGTACTGGGAGAAGCCAAATGGAAACACGCAATGGCCTATCTCGACGACATTGTCGTCTGCTCCAACACCTTCGAAGATCACCTAAGTCATCTCGAGGACGTACTCGACCGGCTAAAAGCCACGGGAATGACCCTGAACCCCGAAAAGGCTCAAATAGCCGAAACCCGTATCGCCTTGCTCGGGTTCGAACTTGATCGCGGGCGCTTTGCGCCACATCCCAACAAACTACAGGCAATCCTGGAGTTTCCTGCGCCAACCGACGTGAGCTTCCTCCGTCGCTACTTGGGAATGGTGAACTTCTATTGCCAATTCATCCCAAACTGCGCGACGCTTCAAGCACCACTGACACGCCTATTGCGAAAGTCCGTGAGTTGGAGCTAGGGTCCCGAGCAGGAAGCGGCCTTTCGCCGCACCTCCCGAGCGCTCGCGGACACAGCTGAACTCATG